AAATTGCAAATTCCTCGCACATGTAACATCTCCATTGGGCCAAAATGCACCGATATCAATACCTCATATGTTACTTGGTTCCTCGAAAATTCTCCTCTTGGACTTAGCCTAAAAGTGTGGACACTTTTTAGCCTCCGGCGAAACCTAGAGTCTATACGGCTTCGCCGCACGACTAAAAATCAATTGATTTCATTGAATTGACAAAGACTTTAGTAGTTAAAAGCTAACATCGATTCTTCAAATTAGAATTAAAATTTATAAATTTCATCTTTAAGATAAATAACTAAATTGAAGTACATATAACAATTACACTGGTTAAATGATTCTAAGATTTTCATCCTGAAAAATCCGAATTCAACATGAAGAGTCTACTTTAAAAATTTCGTATGTACAACTGAATTTCAGCCATACAGCTCATTTCTGCTAGCTGATAAAACACCAATAGGTGTGGGAAACGGCCTCCTCACCATCACTACATTTTAATGAAACTGTTTTTATTATGACTTGCCAAAGACTGATAGGACTCTCCTATACAGAACACTTTTCAAAGGAAGAAATTATTATTCATATATATAAAAAAAAAAAAAAAAAAAAAAAAAAAAAAAAGATTGAAAAGAAATGAGTATTTGTGGCTTTTTCATCCAAAAATGTTGTTTGGCTAATAAGGTATTGAACTAAAGTCACGTATACAATACAATGGATACATATTAGTTTTGCTGGATGAAGAAAAAAGAATTCCATAATAATACATGTATGGACGCTAAAATCACATTTTTAACAAAATCTGCTATAATTTTTTGTATGTTGTATATTATATTGTTTGTTAATTTTATTGTTTCTTTTTTCACTTGTTTTCTAAATTTTGTATGTTTTTATGAGCTGTGCGTTTCGTTATCTACAAAAAATACTTGATTGTTATTTTTTTACGGAATTAAGATATTTGAATCTATGTCAACTAAGAATATCAAGAAATATTTACCAAGAACAATATACGATTGCCACCATAGAAGACCACCAGTAACAATCATGTCTTTTTCTTGCGTTTCATTACCAAAAAGCTTCCATCTTCTAGTTGCAAATGAGTAATGAGCTAAACCAGTGCGGCCTGCAACAGCCAAATGATGACCCTCGCAGTCTATGGCAGTATACTGAAAACAATCACAAGAAATGTTCAGAGATAAGAGTCAGACTACTGCAAATTCAGCTAGCACATCATTTTCAAACTGCTCCTACCAGCATGTTATTGTTTTTGTGTTAGAAAATATAAAAGCTCTTCCCAAGAAGAAGACATTTTGCAAAGAGCTCATTCCAAGAAAATCTAAAAATCCAATTCTTTGGCCAAACTAAACAAAATTGAGACAACTAGAAATTTTGTCTTAAAGAATTAAGGTCCCATTCCCTATGGTCAATCACAAATGTGTGAAAACATAAAAGGATGAAAGTTGACGTAATAAAGCAACTCGGATTTAACAACTTTACCCTGATCGGCCAGTTGGTTGAAGAATACGTTGATGGGAGGAGGACGACTAGCCACTGCTTGTTCTCAACCAGCTGACTAGTAATACTCATCTTCGTTTGTACTTGAGCATTTTGTTTTGGTAACTGGTAGACTTTGGTTATGCCGGCTCCAAGATTAATGTACAACCTATCCTCTCCTTGCAACGCTAAATGAGACTTGTGACTCTGAAAACAGAATGATTATTCAAGTCCAAATTAGGAAGTAAGAAGCTTGGTATTCTAGTGGCCATAAAATGCAATGTCTCTTGATATTGAAAAAATTCCTCCGTCAGTAATTGAATCTCTCCGTTCAAAAACAACCCATCTCAGGAAAATGACATTTTTTAAGAGGCAATAGAAGCTGTGTGACAGCCAGAAAAGGAGTGTTCCTACACAAAAAATGTATGTAAACATGTATGCTGATTGACTCAGCCTTATGTATTGCCGTGCTGCATCAACTCAAACGTCGACTTTTGACTAGCTTTTTCTCCCTTCAGAAATGCTTTTTTGATCTTCTCCGTCAACTATTTGGTTTTTCCACTAAAGTTTACAAAAGAAAAACAACACTACAAATAAGAGATTTGATTGATAGTTTATGGATGGAAATTAATAAATCCAAAAGAAAGCCTGAGGGAAACTCTCGTAAAAGTCAGCATCTCTCGTATAAAGGAATTTTTTTTTTTTTTTTTTATTAATTAAAAAATTGTACAACTAGCCCCTGACGGGGCTATTAATTACATTATTTTTAAGATATAAAGGAATGTATCTCAATTGCACTGTTTTATTGTTTTGTACCTACTAACATATTATTTCTTATAGAAGAATCACATGAATTATCCTGAAACTTCAAGTGATGTTTTTTTTTTATACTGGTGAAAAAAGGCTCTAAAATTTTTAGACAAATTTGTAAGACAACTCTCCCATGAAAAAATAAAACTTTTGCAGTAACATTAGTCCTGTTCCATGTTCCTTTTGCGCGGGAGATAACAAAATGTGGAACGTTTTTCACATTAAATAACTGCTTCAGAGCGTTCGATACACCCCTGCATAAAATTGAATGTAAAAAAACAAAATTGATTACCATGCATGGATTAACCGTGAGAGCGCTTTTGACAAATCCCATGAGAATGACTGAGTCTGACTTTTCATTCCATCCATCAGGATCTTGACGTTTTACCATCCAAAGTTGATATCCTTCAGCTGACCATTCCTGTTATGGGACATTATGATGAAACAATGAGGATACATGAAAAATAGATATTAAAAACAAGAGCGCAAGATAAAAATAATGAAAATTTCAATTTAATGTACCAACCAAACCATTTTATTCATCAAAACCTTGTACTCAAAATTAGAACAGAGAGTCTGAACTGAAATGGGTCTGTTGCATGCAAGAGATACAGCCGTGCGAATAGACTTTTTAGAGGTTAAATGACACGAAAATTACGATGGTCACATTAAAAAAGTCTGAAATACACTCCTTACTGCGCAATTTGCGTTGTTAGGAACGCGCTTTTTCAAATTTCCCGCGTCTGGGGGCAGTTTTCTAATCACCGGAAACGAGCAAACGGCGGGCTCGGTGATTTCTGGAAGATGTCGAGTCGTTATTGTTATTTTTTCCTTCAGTTTGTTTACAAACCCAACGTGATCTCTTATAGTGGTCCATATACGCTTTATGCAGTAACCAAATCGATCAACTTTTAAATATCCAACGGAATCCTTCTACATTTCATTTCACGATATCACGAGCTCCGATTTTTAGGTTATGTTGTCAGTTTTAGTTGACCGGAAATAGCCGCGAGTTGCCGTTAATTGTTTTCGCTAGAAAACTGCCCCCAGACGCGGGAAATTTGAAAAAGCGCGTTCCTAACAACGCAAATTGCGCAGTAAGGAGTGTATTTCAGACTTTTTTAATGTGACCATCGTAATTTTCGTGTCATTTAACCACTAAAAAGTCTATTCGCACGGCTGTATCTCTTGCATGCAACAGGCCCATTTATGTTTCATCATTTTATATGAAAAACATGAAAAAATAATTGTATAGATATTGAGAAGACTTTGATGTGAGTAAGCACCTTTTTTTCACAAAGATTATAGAAGGGAATGTACTGTCTTAGCATATCGATGGTGAAACTGCAGAAATATGCATCTTGGTCTGCAGCATAGTAGACTTTCTATCATACTTTATTTTCTGAACAAAAAACTTCTAAATATCATTTCTTTATAACTTCGTTGATTTTTCTTCTGTGTGTACATATTATTCGGTGAAACTTTCTAGCTAAGGTGTTGGTTTGGTTTTCATTTAAAAAATAAAATAAAAACCGGAATTTTGAAGCATTTCTTCAGTTTCACCATTGACACGATCTTGAAACAAAATCGTAGCAGTAGTTTTGGAACCGGAAACTCAAATCTGACCTTTTGGTTGTCAACCAAACATTTCAATAATTTTTCAGTTAATAATATGAGTATTTCCAACAAAATCTGAAAAGAAAATTGGCTCAATGAATAAAAAAAAAACTTGGAAACAATCATAAGCAATTAAAATAAACTACAGCATATTTTTGTATTTGCTTTTCTGTATATTTTGGCCAGTTCTGAGACAAAAATTAACCATTCGGCATGATTTCAAATGCAGAATTCCGATCATCTGATGAGACTTGATTTTCAGCAGGGCAAAGTCAAGTTTGGGGCTTTAATCATCAGAATGAAATTTTTTCAGGATGAAAAAAACAGCACTTGAAGTATTAAAGAGAGCCGGATTTTTGTATCAGACAACTCAAACACAAAAATCATACTTACCATCGAGTGGATGAGTAGAGGATTATTCTTGGAGACATCGGTGTGGATTCCATAGTCCCATGAAAGACTACAAGTGAGCAAGGCACCGAAAGTACTCCACAAGGAAAATCCACCCGATGACCAGGCAACGGCGAGAGCACATCCATCAGGCGTCCATCGAAGTGCGGAAACAGCTCCGACAGGCCCAGGATAGATTTCACTTGATATTATCAGCTGATGAGATACCTCCAGGCCTCCGGTCATTTCATCGATGTTGTAAATGATGCATTCACCACTAAAAAATGTCAGGAAAGTTAAGATTAGCTGGGAAAATATACCAAGATGTGATACTAAAAAGTAAGGTGATTTTTATGATGCGATGAGAGAAAAAAGATCTCGGTCCACATTAAGATCAAGTCCACTAAAAAGGAATGATGGAGTATTTGCAAAAAAAAGTAAAAGAAAAATAAACTGATGAGCAGTTTTTATTTTATTATGGTGATGAGTTGTATTCAGTTTTCATGCAGGTCATTATAATTGGCTAAAAGAGCCTCTGCTGATATCACATTCTTTACAAAATCCCTGACGGTTCAATTCTGCAAGTTTGTTGGATAACACTTGGTTTTTAATTTATTTAACAAAGCTGAAGCAAGCCAATGACTAAAATAGTATTAGAAAAAACTGAACTTATAAACACTGAAACTGAACAGGAATTTTTTATTGTGCGTTGACTGTTCTCAATTGTGCGTTGACTCAGAATGGCTATTTCATGGAAAAACTGTTCGCTGGTGGCTGATAATGGAGGTGTAATTACTCTGGAACGCTAGCCTAAAGATCTATTAATCTTACTTTTTGCGACCAAAAGTGATCAAACGGAATTTGTGGTTTACGGCTGCACAAGTTGCATCTTCAACATTTGGAGCCCATATTCCTTGCACTTGCTGAAAAAATTAAAAAGGAAATAATGATCAGCCAATGTTGTATTCTGCGAGAGGCTAAAGAGTTCAATCAGTGAATTCACAGACCTAAGTTTCCGTAAAGTTAACTATTATCCACAAATCGAAAGATCAGGAATTTTTTGCATTCTTCAAAGTGTTAAACCCTACTTCATTAATCACTTGACATTTCAGTTGTTTCTTTTACGGTTTATTTTTAAAACAAAAATCTATAGCCACATCCTCTTAAAAATATTGCCACTTCGTTTTTTGCCAAGGTAAACATGGATGACAATAATAATGAACTTTTTTTCTTAGGCTTCTTTAAAAACGAAATGTGGGAGGAGATAATAAAATTTCCAACTGCTTCAAATAATTATCCTCCTGATTAGAAATTAAAAGTATTATTTTCACGTATTGACTCAACAAAGCTGTGAAAAATTTTGAGTTAGAAACTGTTTAAAAGTTCAAGAAATAATATTTCTCATTATTAAATTTGCATGCCCATGACTCCAGAGGGTGTTAACGTAGAGGATGGCCTTGCTGTAAAAACAATTCATGGATTAGTAAAGAAAAGTTGATAATTTTTGAGCCAACTACTTACATTAGGATCAAACTTCAGTGAAACAGCCGTTAAAACTGCAGCACGGCCATCATTTAAAACAACAGCAAATCCTCCAATTAGAGGTGAGTATTCAATTTGTGTCAAATAAGTGTTGTTTTCGACCAACGGAATGGCTAGAAAATAAAACAGAAACAATGGGCACATTAAAACATCTTTCAGTCTAGAGATTCGGATAACACAGTAATTATTTTTTTTATTTTACTTCAATATACTTGGCAAATTTACAGGCAAGTTATTCAGCTATTACTAAACATTTGAGCACCAAAAACGTCGGAAGATGTCAAACTAAACCAAATGTATGATGATTTAAAGTTAGCTGTTCAAAACTTGTAATTTTGAGAAAAAGCTGCAAAAGGTACGATTGCATTTCCATGCAAAGACAGAGAATCTCATTTATGCTAGATCTGAGACTGTAACGCAGGAGTAGAAAAGTTGGATGGGGCGAAACGCGTGATACAATTATTTCGACTTCCAAATACATACAATTGCATTTCTACGCAATGAAGGCGAACCTCTTTGGCGCTAAATCAGAGACTAAAATGCAGGAATAGAAAAGTTGGATGGAGCGGCAAGAGAAAATTTTGGACTGCTTTGATTGGGGCTAAAAATATCAGACTATTTTTCCTGGTCAACCCATTGACTTAAGCTTTAATATAATTCTGCCACACCTAGAATCAGTGTATAAATGTGCAAAAATCAATGACTGTGAACACTTACAAATGCTACTAAAATCATTTCATGAGATTTAATATCGACCTAACTTCATAAAAATAACATCTCTGAAAAATTTGCCTCCATGGACTGAGGTTCCTTCCTCTGCCACGATCGCATACTTAAAACTGAACACTTACCTTTTGAAACTTGCTGATCAATACAAAAAGGAACGCGCCGAAGGTCCAGACAGTAGTCTCTGTTCATAGAGCCGTCCCATCGATATCGCAAAACATGGCTACGGGTGGTTGCGACCATCAGCTCATCCCGGAGACAAACAATACTGCAGATTCCACCTCCGATGGTGATTTCTTTGTCCTATTGGTTGTAAAATAAAATGGGATGAACATTATGTTTTGTGTCCTCAAAATTTGTTTCATTCTCAAATCATAATTATTATTACCTCTCTGACTCCGCAAAAACTCAATTTTTGGAGATCTACTCAGCTGGTTTCATAGTTATAAGACGATTGGCAGGTTTTTTTATGTTTACAAAGCAGCAAGAGAGCCCTTTGTGATGATTTCATATACAATTGATCCATCTTGACCAATAACTGGAAAAGAAAATAGTATCTAATGCTAATAGTGTAATCTTGCTACTATCTCAGTGATTTTTTTTCCTGCCGATTGATGGTTCATCTCAAAGATACTGGAACACATAGCTGATTTTTTTTCTGTTCTCAAATTTCAATTTAGTTTTCAGAAAATCGGTACTTGAAAATTCAGAAATGATTAGTTCTCGATTTAGCCATACTGAGGAAGATGCCGTAAGAACCTTTAGACATAGCTAAATTTCCTTTGATAAAATATGAATTTTCAGGGGAATTTGTGAATTTTTTCTTTAAACTTTTCAGAGAATTTTATTTATGATTGGATTTTAACTGTTTGAAAACTTCCAAAGAAAATATGCATGTCTCGCCTCAAAAATAAACATTTTATCAGAGGAAATTTAGCGACTCTCTAAACAGCGTTTTTCCTTAGCGCAGTAAAACTGGGGAGTAGGCTTGGCTCTACAGACCTATGAAATAATTTAGAAGGCTGATTTCCCTCTGGATCTTGGCAGAAATAATGCTGTTGGAAGGCTTCCATTGCAACAAAATTTAATAGTCCCAGCTACCATTGCTTAAATTTTGCAGTATTAGGATTTGTATTTCATCGCTCCAGACAAAAACGTAAGATGGATGAATACCAGTATATCTCAGTCTTTTTACGTTGTAGAGGACACTTTGTTTAAGGTGTTACTCCTATTCTATCGAGGTATCCTGTTTTCTATCCTCAATTGGGCGACATAAATTATGTGACAAATTAGAGGAAAGATAAAAGAGGATTTACCAGTGCCAGATGCAAACATGGTATGTTTTGTTTAATGAATAGCTCTGCACTGTCTCTGCGTAGGTTGGGTTGTGGTGAATCTACAAGTTGATAAAGTCCCTTTTTATCCAAATCCTCCTCCAATGAGTAAAATATAAGTGAGCCACCAGATGTCTGAAAGAACAAATTGACATTAAGGCCAGGCTAGAAATCATAGAAACATTTGCTAACTCAAGAGAATAGAAATAATTAAAAGTAAGTATAATATAAAGGTATGATGCGTGTTTCTGATTAAAGTTTGATGTTAATTATTTTTTTTTCCTAATTAAAGTTTGATGTAAATTATGATGGATACATTGAAACTTTCCAAAGTCAACTCAGAAGAGAGAGAATAGCATTTTACTAAGTCGAAGTTTACCTGAGTCAAATTGAGCATTACTTAGCAAATTTTCGATATAATTTAAAATGGAGGAATTTTTCTGTGGGGTGATTTTTTTCCAGCAAGATTAAAGGTTGACGCTCTGATCTCAAATTATGTAAAAACATTACTCTGTACCTATCACAATAAGAAAGTAAACTTATTTGAAAGGAGCTTTCATTAGTTTGGCAAACAAACGCATAGTTACTTGTTGCAGTGAAAGCCCTGCGAGTTTATGAAGCACAAAGTTGCGCTAATGAGTGAAAAAACACTAGTTCATGGATGGGCAATTACTCCATCCGCAGCCGCTAAGTTGGACTTCATGGCACTAAAATCGGATCTCATACCTGAGGAAACAAGGGATCAACTAGCCATCTTAATTAGCAATGCTCAGGGATACAATAATTTTGATGAAAAAAAGTTCGGAATACCCTCCAATACACCTAACAAAGGGTATTCCAGCTTTGACTTCCATTTGAGCTACTGAGAGAGAAAAGAATAATACTTACAGCAACAACAAGTCGTCGTGAGTCTGGCCGCCATTCGACTATCTCGTTCAATCCTATTTCTTCAAGCGACTCGGATGTGCGACGATGAGAGACTATTGGCAGACATGGCTGTAATATGTCAAAATAGATTGAGCGTTGGTGCGATATCGTATTTAGTTTGATTTACCAAATGGAAAAAACAAGTCTTTAAACCTATCATAAGTGTTCCTAATTAAATGTTATCCGATGGTTAGGAATATTAGGAGGAAATTGAGATGGAAGATATGATAGGCTCTAGTGAAATGTTGATTTATCAACACAATGGAGGCTGAGCAACTACTGAAGGAACAAAATCCAAGGCTAATCAAGTATCCACACTAGTCTCCACTCTCATCACGTTTACGAAGACTGACGAAACACTATCTAGCAACCAGTTTCCTTCTCCATTACATTATACGTCCTTAGACGGAAGTTCCTAGAGGAAGTCCTTGAACATATCTTGTTCGACGCAACAACTCGGAACATCTCGTAACACCCGTATTTTGTTCCGATGTTTTTAACGTAAAGGGGCGTGGCCTATTTTCATCCGCTGATTTGTTTTGAACAGTTTGACAACGTTTTTGGAACATTGTTTCGAAACAATGGGAATGTCCTTAAAGCATGTTTTGGTGAGGTTGTCACAAGATTTCTAACCTCGTTTCGGACAGCTCCACTCTCATTGGCTGCAAAAAGGTTGCGCAAATAATACGAAACAGAAAACAGTTGTTGCGGCAAACAAAATACGTCTCTTCCTGAGCCCCACCTTGCGATCTCAATTCATTATTAGCTACTCATGCTAGTGGCTGTTTGTGCCAACGCACTACGGCCAAGGCCTCATCGCCGAGCAAAATATTAAAAATTTTAAAAAAAAATTATTAGATACTGACTCTATCTACAGCTTACCTTGCAGAACCAAATGATCAAAGAATCATCTGTTAAAATAGCGAAGAGGACTTTATCGCGATTGCAAATTATTTGTCTGACAGAGACATTATTTGCTAGCTGCGGAATGTCCAGAACATTGGGCCAACCGAAAGGGAAATACATGATCTAGAATTAGAAAAATATGCTTCCATCTACACACAACCAAGTTTCAAAGGGCGAGTCACATGAACTCTGAAAAAATTTAAAAACACTGCATCCATGTGAGATTCTGCGAGTTCTAATTGAAGCACAAAGTAAAAATTCAAAACTGACAAGTGGCAAATGTTTACCGATTTTGAAAACAATCAAACCTAAGATTATTCTCTAAATCCACAACATAACCTAACTTTCAAAGATCATACTGCCAACGAATTTTTCCAATTATTCCTCTTTTCGAACAAAAGGAATTTTAACGGCAAATTCTGAACCAGACGCTTTGATTGGTCCAGAGCGGTTCATTCCGTTTATTCCAAGTTGAATCGAAATTAGCGGGAATTTCGAATTATTCCGGATATCCTGTTCACCGAGTAGTTTCCGTTTCCGGTAACACAGTGTTGTCAGTTTTATCCAAAGCACCTCGGTAAAGTTGACAACACTGTATTACCGGAAACGGAAACTACTTTGGTGAACAGGATATCCGGAATAATTCGAAATTCCCGCTAATTTCGGTTCAACTCGGAATAAACGGAATGAACCGCTCTGGACCAATCAAAGCTTCTGGTTCAGAATTTGCCGTTAAAATTCCTTTTGTTCGAAAAGAGGATTAATGTTGGGAATAATTGGAAAAATTCGTTGGTATGACGTCATCGAAGTGAAAGACAAACCTCAAGGCGGATTAAGAATGGTGGTCGCATTTCGTACCCTCTGGACGTCACACGGTATCGGGTACATCGGGTACATGGGCTGGCCGAGGCCGGGGGGGCCGACTCAACCTCGGATTGCACGGCATAACCCGTACCCTCCTGACGTCACAACGCTTCAAGATGGCAGCCAAAATCGAAATGCGACCACCATTCCTTATCCGCCTTGGACAAACCTCGCCCCCTCCTCTCAAAGGTCTTTGAGTTCCTGCGACTTCATCTTATTATTTTATTTTCCCCCTTTTCAACCAATGAGTGGTGATTATGATTTAGATTCGTTATCATTAAAGCCCCTTAATTATAGTAATGCAAAACTTACCCTAGTTTAACAAAGCTTTTTTTTGTACCAGGAGAATATACTGCCGGAAAGAGCCATGTTCAAGCTCCTCAATACCTTCAGTAGGTAAGAAGAATTGGGGTTTTCCCCCTCAGTATCCACTTGTACAATTGATTATAATCACTGGGACCATGTTTACACCTGTTCAACATTGAAGGACTATTAAGTTTTACTCCTATGTAATTCTACTGATTGTGAGCCCAGCAAATAAGGGTCCCACCCTAACCTAAACCTATTGCGGCTTGATTCTTCTTCCTTAATTGTCTAAAACGTTTCGCTTTTTTAAACAATAGCTTCGTCTATCTAAGTACTTTCAATGTACCACTGTCAATGTGGGCTTAGAAATGCGGATTTAAGGTGAATCCAGGCTTGGAACTTTGCGATTTGGCCACCACGTCGCGCTGCCCAGAATAGCCGCATATATTTGCCAAAATAATAAAAACCGCAATACTTATTCAAGATTGGAGATCCAGGGAATATGGCAACATACTTGAGGAAAGCTCAGTAAAAAAATCTTCTCAAAATTCTCAAAAATAAAGTCTTAACTACGGCGGAAAGTAATTCCCATTGCGGCAATGTGAGAGAGAGAGACAGAACATGAGGGATTCCGTTGCGCGCTCGGCCGCCGCCTCTGAGCTGAAAGTTTCAGCCGTACTTTCTCTGCGCTTGTAATTCTAATTGCCAATATTTTTGGCTCAAAAAATCAAGCAAAAATTAATCTATATCTTGTGGATCTGCTTTTTGTAATTCGAGGAATATTATTTCAGTAATCGTCGAAGGAAAGTGAAATTCTCAGTGGTGACTGGTGGCGCTATCTGTAATCTTGAATTATCCTTAATCGAACCCTGGATTCACCTTAGCACTTGCTGCAAAAAGGCAGTTTCTGTGAACTCCTGATTCCTCCTAATATTTCATTCATTTGCTTGGATTGGGATCCAGGAATCGCACTTTCTTACAAATTGGGGTCGGAAAAGAACCCTGCTGTTCAGAAGAAGCGCATTGATGCCAAATGCTAAGTCTTTTAATGTTTTCTTTTGTAATTTTGTACCTTGCTTTTATTCGTAAAATCTTAACAGTCTTACTGAACAATCTGTGCTCAATGACTAGATGAAAAATTCTCTTACTTCTCTTCATTTTCTTGTAATTTATATTTTTCCTTAATTAATGAAAAAATAAAATTACTTAATACAAATGAATTTTGCACTGTTACCTCAAGTACTCATTTCTCACTTGCACCAGCAATCATGATTCTCCAATTTTTTAAGAGCACTAACTGAAAGATGCATTCTTAATTGGCCTTAATTTTTTCTTAGTAGAAAAAATACCTTTTCTGCTAGCCGATTCAAGTTAATTGACAATTCAATATCTCTGCACCTATTCAGTGTGGTCAATTACTTTTTTTAAAAGTTCAATCCGTTTATATTTCAGATTAAATATTTGTTCAAATGCAGCACCTGCGCGATCAATTGCAACGGACAGTTCACTTTGGATTCAAGCGTCATCAGTTCTCTAGTGAGTTTTTATTTTAATGTTTACACTTGTTCATAGAGGCAGAGTTCTACATTTGAACATTTTGATTTAACCAAAAGATGATATCACTTTATGGTGATGCAGGATTAATAACTATGAGTAGATACTTACCCGCAAAATGATAGTGAATGGACTGCTGTCAAATTTCAACTTCATTTATTTCAGGGGTGTTAGATCACCCATAGAGCAATGTGTAATTTCAAATGTCAGAAATGGGAAACAAAAAATACAAACTTTTGAAGTTTCGTGCAATAACAGACTTTGCTATGGTTAACACATGCTCGGTCCTTCATCACCTTACTTGAAGGCTCTAAGAGACTGGGAGGGACCTTTTTCACCTCTCGGAGCTTACATCTCACTCCAGCGCGACAACATTTAATAAATTCTTGAAATAATCATTCCTTGATTAAAAATTCAAGATGTACCAGAAAGTCGGTCGCGCATGGCAGCCTTTGGCCAAGAAAATTGACTCGACCTCGTGGGGCTGGTGCGTATCAAGGACTAAAACCTTTCAAGCAGAAACAACTTTTGAATGCCTTTTTCCATTATTTGAATCTCTAAATGTGGAAATTTTGTCCAAAGTTTAGAAAAAGTCAGCATAATTTAATGCTTTTTTCCATGATTTGAATCTCTAAATGTGGAAATTTTGTCCAAAGTTTAGGAAAAGTCAGCATAATTTAAAAAAAAGTAAATTGAAGTGGAAGTTTGGTTCAAGGGTCAAGGGATTTAGACATTTTGGAGTCAGGGACTTGGCAAATAAAGAAATTATGAATAACCAATGTTAAATTAATATTATTTTCAGTGGTGAACCATTGAAGAAGAAAAAGAAGATAGATCCTGCCATTGTGAGAGCCAGAGAAGACCGAAAGAAGAAGAAAATTGAAAGAGCAATTAAAAAATTAAAGAGACAGGCCAATCGACCGAAACCTGTTGATGAGATAGAGGTGCCGTATGAACTAGTCGATCAAAAAGAGTAAGTTGTTCTTTGACATGTAAAGATTTAAGGATACTAATTCTTGCACTTACAAAACTGCTTTATCCAATTTATGTTCTCCTAATCTGTGGAGATTATTCAATCTGTGATCTGTTTGATCTGTGGATCATTTCAAAGCCTAATAGAAATAAAATATATGTTTTGCTGCAAAAATTTCAATGCATGTTAAGGAGCATGAAAAAAAACGGACATATTTATGTTAGAAGGGTGCAGCATTTCCAGAATTAAGATTAGGTATGTTACCATATTATGAGAGAGCTCACAAAGAAACCTTTCAGCAATCATTCCATCTTTTAAAAGAACTAAACCTTATCGAGTTGAAACATGGAATGTTTTCTCTACAAAAGTATTTACCAATATATACTTGTGCGGGGAATGTTCTTGTGATTATCATGTTTGCACCATCTGGAAATTCAATTTTACCGTAGAAAATTGATCTTTACTTGTTTGATGTACTAATACGTCTCCTCCTCTAATTACTTGAGAGCATTCAGCATAATGAAATCTATCTCATCCATTTCAAAAAAATTATATGCGTCACCTATGCGTTGGTGGAAAGTTACTCTTTTATACCGTCTTTTGAGCTCTCTCAAATAATGTTTACAGTTTTTATGAGTTCAGAAGCTGATGAACATTATTAAATTCCAAAACTCTAGCAGAAAATATTTCCAAATCTCATCCTCTCAATAAAGTTCTGCACTAATCCAAGTAGTTCTGTTCAAATTTGCAAATCCAGATGTTTCGGATGCTTTTTTCTGATGAAATGGCAAGTGATTATTTATGTAAGCATTATTGAAGCGGCTTCATATCTGCAAGCAGATCATCTTAAATTTGAAAATTTTACTTGATGCAGTTATAAGATTTGACCATTTCCTTTTTTTGTTTGTAGGCTAAGAGAACGACCTGCAGCTCAATGGTCAGAAGAAGAATTACTTGAGAAGCACATATTACTTAAGAAGTGGACTTTGTACAAGCAACAGCGTCGCCTGGAAGATTTGCAGTTAATTGACCGAATGGTTTATTCACAACAGAGGGCTTTAGATGAGCTGAAACTGGCATCTCCACGTCTATATGAAGCAGCAATACAGGTATAATATGATAAAAATATTTTATGTATGCCAATGGACCACCATACAAAATGAAAAATGAAGCACTACAGCACTTCTTTCTCATCAAAATTTCCTGCAAAGAAGTTTTACTTCTTTCAGAGTCTATCTGTGGTCTCCTCCCATTTCAAATTCACCCTGCGTATCCATTTGGCTGCCAGGCAAGGTATAAATTAAAGCACTGCACAACATGACAACATGTTTTCTTTAACATTTCACAAGGAGACCGAATCACACAATGGAAAGTCTACAAATCCACTCCTAAACAAAGTATAAGTGTTCACAATCAACATTCATAGAGTACATAGAGTTGTAATGCAAGTGGAAGAGCTGGCGCCAATTTTAAGCATTTTCCAGGTCCCGAATTCCGAGATTCCTGTGCGGCGCCGGGTTCCTTTTTCGATACATAATCAATTGTTTGCGATAAACGGGGACCTGGCCATATTCCTTACCGCCATTTTGGATCGAATATGTATCGAAAAAGTTATCCCGCACACCGAGCTCGGAACTCGTCAAGCAGAACATGGCGCCAGCTCTCCCACTTACATTACGACTCTATTTACTCTACGTCAACATTTGATCTTTGTTAAAAATAATTGTGATAATCTCATCCAAAAATTCTTTTTTAAACTTCTTGTCATGTGAATTGTTTTCTTCGTAAGATTTTGAAGAGTAACATGCAACGTTTTCCTCTAGTTCAAACCTTGTCCTCTGGCCCTTTGTCCAAAAAGAGAGAGAAAAAAAATTAATTCCTTCCAATCTCACAATGTTTTGCTTTGAATATGAACGTACACATGGGCTTCTGAATTTTAGCAGTTCAGCTAAACTTTTATCCCTTGCTTACCACCCAAATTGGTACACATAATTTTCATTAAGCACTGTCCTCTGGTGAAGACCTCAATACCAGAGGAGGAATAGGACTATGTTATTTTTCTGCTCACCAAAAGCAAAGTCTCCAAGAGTTTTCCTCCTCTGATCATCATTTCTGCAACAGCAGCTTTTTGATATTACCTCCTTTTCACTCATCGTACTTTGTTTATGATTTCCTTGCAGATTGACCCCGAACTGTTACCATATTCCACTGAAGGACCTGTGTACACTCCGCCAGTGAAAGATTATGACAGTCCAGACGGTGAATATTTGGATGTATCAAAAAAGTGGGAGTAATTTGTGAAAGAAGTAAATGATTTTTCCGTTACTTGCAAATCGAAAAGATAATTCTTTGTATAGTGAAAGCTGTGAATTGAATTTGAAGTGTATTCATGCAGCTCATATTTCTTGACTTAATACTAGTCTCATCAAATGGCAGATTTTGCGACAACTAGTGCAACACTTTTCACATGAGATCAGGAGATCGTTATTTACTCCTCTTTCCTACAATTACTAGTTAACAGCTGTTTTTCATGTTTTTTAAAAATATAGTGCTACCCAAAGAACATGTTGTTTCCTTCATTACTCATTATCTTGCTTCTCTGTATTTTTTTTTTTTCCAATACAGGAAGTTTTTTTTTTTTTTCAATTTAATTTGATTGAAATAACTCAAGAGTTTGCTGGAAGCCACCAAAGATGGAGCTTAAAGCTCCAAAAAGCTGCAAGGTAAAAACCACCAAATGTGGTGTCAGTGTGAAAGAGTTTTATAATTTTGCTCACAGTTGCATTCTTTTGACAGCATTGCAATTTTAGGAGTCCCTTATTACAACATGTACTGCATTTTAAAATGTGTTCCTATTCTGTTCATTATTTAGGAATTTACAAATCAAAGTTTTTTAAGTCAGTATTGCTTGCTGAGCAAACCAAAAAAAAGAGGGCAAGACAAAAAAACTTAACTGGGCAGGAAGTAAAAGATATAAGTCGCAATGAAAATTAGAAAATGACATTTAATATCAAGTTGGTTAAACGTACAAGATAAAAACACACTTATGCTTACAGGAAAACTGAGAAACTGAAAACTAATAGTAAAAACAAAATTAAATCAAAATTACAAATTTACAAAACAATGAAAACAAAGAGATGCCTTTTTCCAATACTTGAAGCTTGTTAGACCAGTTTTTTTGCCTCGAAGAAACTCTTCAGATGTTTCATTTGCCAGAATCCCATCACTACCAGGATTGTGAGTTGTGCCAATGACCAACGGAAGACAGAATTATTAGTGCTTTCACTAGTTGCCCGGAATCTCTCTTCACGATACTTAAAAACACAGAAAAAAATATTGTTTTAAAACCTACATCAAATACTGGGTAACTCTCTTTAGACTTTCAGTTGGCATCAAGCTGTATGCCAACCGGTGAGCCGCAGAGATTAGGCGTTTGAAAGGGAGTCAATCTTAGTTCTCAGGTAAATGCTGCTTTAACATTTTGATTTTCCAGTCAAGATAACCAGGTTATAACCTCGACCATCACCGATTTTGTTCGAAGGCATGCTGGGTCAGGGTCAAGTTTTCTTTTGGTTCCTTTAATTTTTTTCTTGTTTGCAAACAACAAAGATAAAGTCCCTATGTACAGGGGAAATTTCAAACTGTGTAATATGAAGTGTAGATCAGACGTTACAGAGATGATTTTAGACTCTTTTGACCAACAGATGCATTTAAAGTTTGATGGCAAATTTCCTGCCATTTCACCATGGAGTGAAATTGACTGATTTTACTAGATTCTCCCGTATTCTTGAAAATCAACCACTCTGTACACAGTAGTTTGACACTTCAGAGCCCTGTAAAATGCTAGAGAAAAAATTTGGATAGCCTCATCTCAAAGCTATATTTTCTGAGCTTCATGTGTTTAAAATCTAGGTTTAGTCGATCAATTTTGGGTTTTATTGAGCTAAACTTTTTGAGAGACATTCCTGCGTGCCATGAAACCAATGACTTAACTTCACATTTTTCCACGCTGGGACGTATACCCTGAACAGTTGGGTACCACTTCAATAAATTAAAAGAGAAAGTCATGAAATTGATGCAGAGCGTAAAGGATTAAGGAAATAACATTTCTTTAATAACAAGAAAACTTTAATTGGTAGAAAACAGAAAGCACGAGTTACATGTTAGTTGAGCGCAGAGAGAAAATGGAGAGATTCCATACACACTACATGAGACAATGAACAAATAAGATGTGTAAGACCCTGATTGGTCAATTCTGATGACATCTTGCGTATGAACGAATGGCGGTAAATTCAATTGCTATTGACAGAAATGAGCATTAATAGTTTATTACTGTTTTCTCTTTTGTGATGAGTTTGATTTGTAGATTAAGAAAAAAATTGTGCCTCTTACCCTTTGATAATTTTGCTCCTTGGTTATTTGCTCAACCTGTTTCAAGAGTTGCGTCATTCGTAGCTGAAGCTGGGACAGTTTGTCCTTTTGCTGAACATTTGCGTAATCCATTGTCTGTTCACCAGCCTTGATGTTCAAATGTACACGCTGCAAGAAAGATAAAAAACTGAATATAGTGTCCACCGACCATACACACTCTGTTAAAAATGTACGGTTCTTATTAATTTCTATCCATTTTATTTTTATTTTAAAGCTAATTTAGTTGAAAGGAATTTTTGAGAATTTTCCTTGTTGTCAAGATTAGAAATAATAATTTAGAATGGTAAACTGCAACTGGGTTTTGTATTTTCTGATTTATGCTGACTTGCATTTATGTTAAAACCTGGTGTAAATACAAATGATAAATATGAAAAAAAGGAAGGAAAAAAACAGGTTAGAATTGAAAATAAAAATTCTACGGCCTGAGATCCATTAAATTCAATACGATCAGCCAATCAGAAAGCTTGCGTTCAAAGCTGTGCTGTACCTACTGTTTGTGGATTTGGGTTGAAAAAAGAGCAGATGAAATTTAGGTATCAGATTGCAATTGCCGATACTTGTCATCTGTCCTTTCAAACATGTAATTCCAGTGATGGTGACAGTTTCACAAAAATTTCACAATATTTTCAAGGTGGCAAGAAAAGCAGGGGAAGTAGATAGCAAAAATATCCAGCAAAATATGAATGTGTATGTATAAGCCGCTTTTACGGCGCGCTAGGGCGCTCTGCGACGCCTACTCTCCACAGGAATCTGTCATGGTAGAGATCCCCCGTGAGCTGGCATCTCTCCATCTCTTCACGGACGCCCTCTCCATCGCCTACCTGGGGGGACCCACTCCAACACCCTCTTCGGCAACCTGGTATCAGCCATTCTCTGCACATGCCCATACCATACCAATCAAGATATGAATACCTGTGAAAATAATATCTGGCCAAAACTGGAGTTATATACAGTCCGGCCAGATAATCCAGCATTCCAGATAATTGTTGGATGTCTGACGAAGCTCTACAAAAAATTTACATATTTTAAGAGGAAAAAATCAAAGCTTCTCACCAATTGAGAACCTCCAATCCAAGCAGTGCTGTTGGAATATAGACAAATGGCATGTTCACCAGGATCATGAGATGTGAATGGAATTTTACCTTCTGAGCTGTATACCTGACAAAATAAAACAAATTTATGTTTAAAAAAGAGTGAGTGCACATCATGAGACAGAGAGGATCCTCTAAATAAAGTGGGCTCGGCGTTCGAGCTTATTTGATTTTTCAATATTTACTTGAAGCTTCAAAAAGTTGCTCTGAAAAAACTAACTAACCATTTTGACAAACTGCTTGTCTTTTTTCAGATAAACGATGGGTCAAAACTTTATTTTCAAAAACATAAGAGTTAGCAAAAAAATCAGATACTTTGTTAAGTGGTACCTTTGCTACTGGCTGTTTGAAGCCTGAACTACAAAATTGTATGCTTACCTAAATTGCAATAATTCAAAATTTCAGCCCTTCCTTAAAAATTTCAGGGGGAAAAATTCAATATTACATATGGTAAAAATATTCTTAGACTAATTTACTGTGTTCCATAATCATTGTGAAAAAATGTCAAGCCATGATATTAAGTTGTTTTATTTCTACAAGAAGAGGGGTAAACATTTTTGAGATTTTGCAATTAGGTAAAATAAAATATTTTATATACTTTGGCCATCGCAATGGTATTTTCTGTGCCTCTGCAATGCCTGTATAAGTAATGGATAAAATTGTTATGATAAAATTTGTTCAATTGAAAATGGAGCTAATAAAAATTGCCCTTACTCTAGATAGAATGACTTTGGCCTCAGGATTCAAGACTTCCACGTGCATTCCAATTCCTGGAGAAGATGGAACAAAACCACCACTTCGAGGATCAAATAGTTCTACTTTATAATATACTGTGAACACAAAAATGAGAAGCCGTTACAGATTTTAAGAATACGTAAGACTACTTAAAAAAAGATGCATGAAATTTCTCAACTCCATGATAAAATTTAAAGTATGCGTTAATCCACAATAGTTCAACAGTAGACTCGTTTCTCTGTTTTCTTTCATACTTTTCCCCCGAAAAAGAACAAAAAATATTATTGACCAATCTATTAACAATTTTTTTAGAAAAAAATCGGAACCCATGAAATAGGAATTAACATAATATAGTAGGTAAGCAAAACTCACAGGCGTAAGTATACCTCTGGAGTAATTTTGAATTTATTTTCTCCTTTTACCTTTTGTTAAGTCCTAATACATCATTACAATTTGGTACTTTTTGTAAAAAATAATTAAAATGGAGAAGAAATTGTGCAGACCCTCTTTCTAGAAGTATGAAGAAAATCCAATAATTTTCAAACGCTTTTTCAGGTGACTAAATAAATATTATAAATACTGAATTTTAAAATTGATAACACAATTACTACATTAGAAAGCTTTACTGCAGCTTTGAAAAAGCCACTTGAGCAAATCGTGCATTTATGCTTTATGCGCTCATCTACCTGAGGGCCTCACACCAGGCAAACTGGGAGCCGACCCGACAGACAAAATTTGATGCACAATCAGCGAGTCTGCAGAAAGAAAACTTTGCTGATCCTAACGCATATGGAAGAAAATTTTTCAGGACTCTTTAGAGTCCAACCTTTGAGTTCAGGCGTCAATCCTTCCTTAAATAACATCCATCTTCTACATGGAGGGCAAACACTCATACAGTAGGCCTTTTCCACACAAGCGAAATTTGCAGTGCATTTTGGGAAACTTGTTCCAGGAACTTGGTATGACTCAAGAGGGCTTTTTTTTTGTCCGTGGAACTCATGGATCGAGATGATAGTGAAGATGAGACCTCAACCTACCTCGGAAGAGTGGTCCAAGCGTTCCACTGGAACACATGGAACGCACTGGATCGCGCCAGTGGAACGCGATAAAAAAGTGATGCGTTCCATTGTGGTCCACTGTGGTTCGGATAAAAAAAAAAGCCCTTCAGCTATAATTAACTCTGCGAAACCCCAGTTCGGGGAACTAATTCGCCCAAACTGCGCTCGTAGGGACAAGGCTTTGTTCTTGTCCAGACACACAAAACAACGGCGTTTCAATTTATACCCTTCTGTCACCTCATCAAAGTGCGTTCATTATCTTCCCCTGTCTCTATGTAAGGACTAATGAGAGTGCAAGAAGATGCGTGATATGCTACCAGCGGCCCGATTATTGAACCTTTGTCAGCCCAACACGACAAGACATAGCCCTATCTCAACCATGCAATATACCGCAATTCCATGTCTTATCGGTCTGCCTTAAATTTCAATGATCGGCCCGCAGTAGCCATGTCTACCTAAACGCATTGAGCGGTTACTCCTTCGTGCATGAATTTCAGCATGTACTGTATGAGTGAGAATTTCTGCATGGCTTTCATAACTCGTCTCTAACGGTTAAGACTTACCAACGACAACAGTTTCATCCGGAATTTCTTCGATGAAACATTTCCTTTCAGTTTCACCAATATGGAAATACAGCGGGGTTACCAAGGGCAGCAGGAGGGCGAATATGGATAAAAATTGGAGCAAAGCAGCCGAGAGGCTGCGGGGACAACTGCACAAAATCATTATAACAAATAAAACTCAAACATTCAAATTAAAAATTGAAAAACGAAAAGATATTTCACGCATTAGTGCCTTCAAAATCGCCAGCGGGACATTTTTCACTGACGACAACGTAAACAAACCGCATGACACATAGAGCATATTATTATAGAGAAGGACCATCCCTCTCAATCCTTATCCCGGAGAGTCCGCGTCCGCCATTTCGCCACTATTCGGGTCCCCGTTTTTCAAGTTTTTCCACTCTGTAAGCTGCTTTACCCTATGCCAAGCGATTATCAATCAACAAGAACAAGATTTTTTCCGGCGCGCTAAAGAATAAGTTTTCTTAGTTTAGTTATCGTCTTAAGCTAAGCTTTAAAACTATCTGCAGCTCGGCAAACCAAATTTTGCAAGCTCTCCGCCCGTAGAATTTTTTCCTCTCATTGATTTTCGTTCCATCTTTAAACAGCGGTCTCTATTTCGTCAACATATTGGTCAGGTAAAAAGCTAACCTTTTTACATGTTCACTTATGATTCACTTATCACTTGATACTTAAAATTTCCATTGTCTCTTTAAAATTCTGCGGTATGTATTTAGTACTACACACCACCATCGCAAATCTCGATTGTCTCTCAGCCAGCACACCCATCAGTAGTTGGGCCATGTTATTACTCAATTCCAGAGGCGAAGGAGACATCAACTTTTCCGTTTAATGTATCCCAACGCAGCAACCATTGTTGTTGAGCAAATGGTCTCTTTCATACGCCCAGAGATTCCTTTCCATAAGAAGAATTTTACGTTTTTATAGGTCCTTCAATTCAACGCATAACATCATTCTACTCACATCTTTGCAATCACCTGTCGTCCTAAAATTCCTAGGAGTCAGCGGGGGAGTGTAATGTTAATACCAGAGGTAAGCACATAAAGTTCCTCATACCCGAAATTAGTTGATATTTTATCTTAGAAATGACTCTCTGTTGTCCATCATGAACGCACTCTAAGAGTTGAATCTTTTTTCTCTGGTTTTCTCCTTTTGATCCTTTGCGCTTCCTGCGATACCGACTATTTAGAAAATTTAGGTATCACAAATAACACAGAATTGATTGCTCCTCATGTCAATCATACAATTCTTCATCATTTCAGGGCAGATGATTCCAGTAGCATCTAAAGCTGGTGGACCTGAAACAGAAGACCAAGCAAAACTTAGATTTCAAGTGGAGCTTGAATTTGTTCAGTGTCTTGGCAATCCAAATTACCTCAATTTCCTTGCTCAGCGAGGCTACTTCAAGGATCAACCTTTCATCAACTACTTGAAATATTTGCTGTACTGGAAAGAGCCAGAGTATGTCAAGTACCTGAAGTATCCTATGTGCTTGTACTTTTTGGACCTGCTTCAGTACGAACACTTCAGACGAGAAGTAGTGAATGCTCAGTGTGCCAAGTTTATCGATGATCAGCAAGTTCTACTTTGGCAGCATTATACGCGGAGACGCACTAGAATGCTGACAGAACCCATGCCAACCAGTTCTGTTACATCTCATGCCCTGAGTGCCACGACAACCACAAATAGCTCATCCACCAACGGACTTCCTCCAGTCACCAAAAACTCCTCCTAGGAACATATTCTTAAACATTCCTATTGGTAAGTGAAGATCTTCTCTCTCTGACTTCAGTTTTGCTATTTATCTAGGACCATCCATCTGGAAGGACCTTAATGTGAAGGGCTGAATTTTTCAGGAGAGTTATTTTTTTCAATTTTGGTCGATTGTATTTTTCTAGGAAATACTCTACTATTTCATAAAATCAGTCGCATGCGAACTAGTTTATTTCAGTACCAATGGCAAGTGGAAACTTGCATCATAATCTAACTATCTTGAGCTTAGAACTGAGAAGGCTAATTTTAAGACAGCTCTATCAATCTACTTTCATGAACCGGAATGTCAAACTGTCATGAAGGAAACCCAACCCCTTCCTTCATATTTTTTTTTTCTTTTTTGCGTTTTGCATGAGTTTTCTTTCTCTTTATCGCTTTATTTTAATAATTTTCTTTACTTTTGTTTGTGATTTTTTGTTTTTTATTTTACTATTTTTTTTAGATAAATTTTAATTATGAGCTTCAAACGAGGTGCTCTTATCGTGCTTGAAGGCTGTGATAGAAGTGGAAAAAGCACACAGTGCAAAAGGCTAGTTGAAGCTCTTAATAACAAAGGCATTCCTTCTCAGCTGATGCGTTTTCCTGGTAATTCATTCAATCCCCTTTATTTTCTTGCACCATTCTTGCCTGCCAGTTAATCTTCCATGTATTTAATGCTGGTTTAGTGTCTGCTAACATTCTTAATTTTTCATGGGCCTGATTTTTTCGAAGAGGTTCCCTACATCTGAATATTCAAAGGAATCAGGTCACTCAATAAGAATCAGTGAGGAAGTAAACTTCCCTATTTTATTTCTCAAGAACGATCAAAATTTTATAAAAAAATAATTATTTTTTCTCCGAGATATATTGATGTTTACTTTTTTACCCGACCAATCTCCATGAAATTGTATTTTCTGTGGTCGGTGGCCATCTTTATATGTTTTCCAATATGTACTGTCTAATTTTCCTCAATTGCTACAAAGATTAGCCTTGCAGGTTTTGCAAATCTAGTTTCCTGTTATCAGAGTTGTATGCAATAATTTATTTATTTATTTATTTATTTATTCTTTTGCTTTTTGCACATTTGGCTTCACAAAAACGTCATTTTCTAAATAAAGGTACTGATAGGTATAAACATATTTACATACAAATCGTCTTAAATTCATTCATTGACATTCAAAAATTCATTGATTGAGTACGGGCATTTTGCAATCAAATGCCTTGTGGCCAGTTTACCGTTAATAAAAACTGGAAGCAAAGAGTTTCCGTGCCAAGAAACTTTTCACCTGACTTGATCACATGTAATGACACCAAGAAATAATCAGAGTAAATGTATAATGTACAGGTAAAAACAGGGAATGGTGAGAAGAGTTTAATAATTTTCAATGATGAAGCAGTGCTGAATCTTCTCAAAGTGGTAACTGGCCTGAACCTAAAGAGTATAAACAATGCTGTCTGTTACAGATAGATCAACTGCAATAGGGAAAATAATCAACGAGTATTTGACAAACAAAGCAGAGCTCTCGGACAAGGCTGTACATCTCTTATTCTCTGCAAATCGATGGGAACTTGAGTAAGTTCACCTCCTGTTATAATATCCTTTTCTTTTTTGCGCCCTTGGGATGCACCTTTCTGAATATCTGCTGAATTGGTTTGAATTTCTTGCTTTTATCTCAAAAAAACTGAATTCATAAAATATTGTTGTGTTACGGAAAAGAGCCGTAAGTGCATTTCTGCAAGAGCCAAGGTTGGCTTATGCTCTTACGTGTCTCAAGGCTCACCTCAAAATGCATTTACGACTCTTTTCCAAAACATGGCAGAATATCAAACTTGTGCAGCATCAGCTCCAGTAGACATTATGAGGACCATTTTGTTGCAATTAGTGACTTGAACGATCTTTATCCAAGCATTTTGAGAAAGAAATACATTAAAATTGATGTGTTAGCCAAATGGAAGATTCCGAAAAGTTGCTTTCAAGTTCACTGGTCATAAATATTAATTCTCCAAAAGTTAGAATCAATTGCCAATTTGTTCGTTCAACTTGCTTCGGCAATTTTTTGTGTAACAAATGTAGTAGAGGCGATGCCTCTAAAAACAAAGTTGAATATGTGAGCAAAATAAGGAACACGTGTGTAATATGAACTGTAAAATGGGATCTCATCTTGTAGGCATACATTTTTGTGGACTTCTTTCAATTGTCAGAAGGAAGAAAATCTGAAACTCTCGGCACAAGTTTTACCCTAATTGAGGCGTTGAAAACGTCAATGAAAATTTTCACTCAGCCAGTAGGATCTCTCGTCACAGATCCGATCAAACATATCCTTAATTATTTATTATTCATTTGAGTGATTGAACCCTAATTATTTGCTGGTATGTACTGTAAATTATCCAAGGGCATTTTCTATACAGTATCCATTTTGATGTCTGCAAGTACAGAAGTTTCTAGATTATATTTATCTACCTTTGAGATTGGTTTTACAGAGAAAAACAAAGCACCTGCCAATGTATTTCAGTAGCTTCATTTTCTTCGATTACAATCCAATGCGCTACTGTTAATATTGATGAGAACATCAGACTCTTAGCGTAATAAATTAATAAATTTTGATCGCTGTGGAGTTTTGAGCACTTGTAGAGTCATGAAAGTATGTGCAAAAGTTTTTGGAAAAGCCAAGCCTTCTATTTCATGCACTTGGATGGACATTTTCTACTTCCATATTTGTATGTCTCACTTGCACACACATATTTGATTTCATTTTTTCCTCATGACTTTTTTAATGAAATCCGATTTTTTAATATTCTCTAATTATTTTAGACCAACAATGCGCAAACTTCTTCAAGAGGGCACAACACTGGTGATTGATAGATATTCATATTCTGGAGTCGCCTTTTCTGGTGCAAAGAAGGTACCATTAAGCATCTCTTCTGCTCCTTTTATCCGGATGGAATTTGGTTGTGGTAGAATCAAGGCCAAAAAAGTGTCGAATCCCAATGGGTCTGTTGCATCTTTTGCCAGAGCAAAAATAAGAGTTGTTCCTTACAAATAATGTCTCAAAAATTGCGATGAGCGCATCAGCAAACTCTGAAATGCACTCCTAACTTCACAATCCGCGTAAGAAATATGCGTTTCTTTACGATTCCTGCTTCAAAAAGAATACTACAGCACAGGTGAACATTTCGTTAGAGGAGTTGTTCCATTCAATCCCTGCTCAACATGGCCGATGCTTCCACATGCAAGTTGAGGAGAGCACAAGGTCAATCAAGGCAGATATCTAGCAACGCGAGAAAAGTGTGAATGTAAACACGCAGATTGTTATCAAGTGATTAGAGTCATCGTCCTGTCACATGTGCTTTGGCGGATTGGCGTCGGCTATGTTGAATATTGTGTAGTATCCCTGTGAGCTGGGGTTGGATGGAATGACTCCTCAAACAAAATGTTTACCTGTACCATGGTATTGTTTTTGAAGCGGGAAGCTCAAAAAAACGCTTTCTTACACAAATTGTGAAGTAAGGATTGCATTCCAGACTTTGCCGATGCGCTAATCGTGATTCTTGAGACACTTTCTATGAAAAACAACTCTTATTTTTGCTTTAGCAAAAGTTTGCAACAGGCCCATTGTGGATTGTATGCAAGTGATCAAAATGTTTTCTTGTCGTGTTAAATTAGCATAATAACTTTAAACATGAAGAATATGCCAACTCTGGCGATCCCACCCCGGGTGACCAGACAAGGACTGAGCCAAAAAGAAGAAAACAACACGTTTCCTCTTTAAAGAAAACATAGGAAACGATTCACACAAGGGGAATTCTGAAAATCACTACTGGACAGATAGTTGACATTTATATGATGGATTGTATGAAAACTTATGTCTTCAGAACATTGTTGATTTTTAGAATGACTTTACATCCTGTTCAGAATTCTGATTGGAAGGAACAATTGTTCCATTTTTGAAAGCAGTGAGACCAAGTGCTATAATAGGAAGGTCCTTGAAAATAGCAAGGAAAACTGGAGAGAGATAGGATCGCTGCAATTTGTTTCAAGACAACAGTTTTTATCTTTGGGTCGTTTTATTGTACCTTTTTGTTTTGAATACCCTAAATTTAATCTCAGAAACACTTAGCCTGAACGCAGCAATTCTTACATCAAGTTCGGAGATTGCTCTTGACTCGTTAAAAATCTTTCAGAATCAAAAATGAATCAGAAAACTTTATCAACCGCAGGTAGTTCATGGCATCTTTGTTCATTCTAATACTATAGTTTGTGTGATTAGGTCATCATTTTTCATTTATTTTTTCTTCTTCATTGTAAGCTATCTACTTGATTATATTTTTTAACCTCTTGTCTGACTCTTGACAAGTCCAGTCAAAGCCTCCAAAATTGCATCGTTTTGTTTCAAGTTTTTTTTTTTTCTTGTAGAATGGGAATCTCTTGAATTGATCTAATAAACACAATTCTCAAGGGTTTTTAGAGCCATCCTGTTTAATTTATTTTTTCTTCTTTTTTTATTCCAGAACATGAGTTTTGAATGGTGTTTACAGCCTGAAACAGGTTTACCAAAGCCGGACTTAGTGTTCTTACTCTCTTTGAAACCAGAAGCTCTCGAGAAGCGAGGAGGTTTTGGCAATGAGAGGTATGAAGATACTGAAATGCAGAAGAGAGTAGCAGAAAATTTCCGCTCCTTACAGAAAGAATACTGGAAAGTGAGTTCCTACTCCTAATTTTATCAATGGTACTCACCATGATCTTCAACAAAAAATCAATCGTTTGAAGCAAAACTGATGCTCCACCAAAATTGGTCTGAATCAGATTTTCGTTACTGTACATTAAGTGAGCTATGATGTTTTTGAAGCTTGCACCAAGCTGTTGGGTGTTTCATCAAAATTTGGTTAGTTTTTCAGCATAATTGCATTTGAATAGGCGCATGCAAAAATCACCAATTTCGATTTTTGAGGGTTGGAAATTTGGGTTTGGGAAGTTTTGAAGTTAGGCATTAGCTGCTATTTCATGTCACAATAGTTGTATTGCGCTGGTCTTAGAATCGTGTTTTGATGCTTGATTTTTGTAGATCAGCTAAAAATAATGTGATTTGTCCCAACAGCAACTCCCTATGTTCAACAGCAATCGAGATATTGCCCTTTGAAAATTTGAGTTTTTGACGTCATCCACCTCGGTACTGACACCTTTCGTTTCTTCCACCTTGCTTTCATCAGTCGGTGTGACGCACATTTGTACTGGTTGTTCAACGTGAAACTCGGATGAAAACAAGGTAGAAAAAACCAAGGGTGTTATTACCAAGGTGGATGGCGTTAAAAACCGGACTTTTCAAAAGGCGATATCTCGGCTAATACTGAATGTGGAAAGTTGCTGTTTAGACTGATCTTATTATTTTTAGCTAATCTACAAGAATCAAGCATCAAAACACGAATCTGTGACTAAAGCAACTGACCCTTTTCATAGGCATGTATAGTTTTAACATTCACCTTTTGCATGAGCTGATAATATTATTAATAAAAAAAGTATTTTTGCCAGTCTTTGTAATTAAAACCTCAATCTGTTGTAAGAAAAGAAATTGTAATAAAACCTTTTAATTCTGGTGTATTGGTGATATTTTTTATATTGATGGCTGAACTTTTAAATCATGTCTATTGATTAAGGTGCTTCAAATATTTTGCTCCTAATTTTTTTCTTAAAGGGGAGCAAGCTAATTTCTTCATGCGAAATTTTCATAGCATTTTACTTAAACACAACAAAACCAGCATTTACCACTTTAAATATTTAAAAAAAAAATCCAGGAAGTCACACTTAGGAGAGCTTTTAAAAATTTAGGAGTACTTATAGAACTATTTGAACAATATGATGATAAAATAACTTTCAACTGTCACAATGAGTTTCTTTCATTACAGGATTATCAATTCTATTGACGATTTTCTTTCACTTCCTTGAGGAGCTTTAGCAGCAACAAGTGAACTTTTGTTTCATTAAATCTCTCTCTAATTGTTTTTTTTCCTATTTTCTCAGGAAATAGATGCAGACAAAAGTGTTGAGGCTTTAACAGAAGAATTGTTGGACAGTACTCTAACCGTCATCAATGAAGTGAAATTCGCCCCTTTGAAAACTCTTTGGTCTTGAATATTATCGTACAAACTTAAATTAAAATTTTAAATACGATGCTTTAATCTAAGGTCACTCTTAATTTTTATTTTTTCATGTAATTTCAATTAAACAGTTCATTAATTTTCTATCGAATCTTTTTCAAATTCATTATAATATCCTCAATCTCTTTCCAGCTGTCACCTATATGGACGTATTTATACTCAAAGGAACTATGTGCAGAGTTTTTGCATGCGACATAGTTCTGTTTAGCATAAATACGCCCATATGTCACATGCCCATTTGGAAATTATTATCCTTCGGGATGCTTCGTTTTTCCCTCTACACACTGCCATTTTTGAGTTAGACCAGCGAACAAACGAAAAATAGATCAAATTCACTGGGTTTTTTTTTCCTGTATGGTTAAAGAAAGCAGCAAAAGTAAACAGTTTTGCAATTAAGGGCCTTTCTACTTTAAAACAATCAGAAAACTGAATTCGCATTCACATTGGCAAGAATAGACCACTAGGCAAAAAATTGAGCCCCCTATCATAAGTTGCTTCGTCAAAATTTCATGCAGAGTTGAACCCATTGAATACTTCTCAAAGTAATGCATGAGTGAGAGATAAATGCTTATAGTTTACGTAATGAAAGAGTACATATACTCAAACTTCCTGCCGCGCCTGTGGAAAAACCACAATTCAGCAATTCAGCATAGCAGTTCAGTTATTTTTTTTTTTTATTTTTTTATTATTTTTTTTTTTTTTTTTTAAAGAAAGTAAAGCCAATTACAGAAGTATTGAAGGTTTGTTTCCAATTTCTTTCACAGGGATAAAATAAAAGTTACAACAAATCTAGAAATGAGTCTATATTTCACAATTTATACCTTAAAGAACATTTTATGGTTGGTTATTGAGCCAATAGGTCACATAATAAAACTTTTGCGGTACATTATTTTGAAGGGCCAAGCAAGCTGAAGGCTGTGTTTAAGGCAATAATATTCAAAAAAAGGAAAGGACTACGTGCAAAACGGGTCATTTGGGGCTCGGGGCGGATACCTTTGAGACTTGCCCTGTTCATTCACCTAACAATGCCCCATCTTTTCCCAAAGTTTCAAGCCCCCCAAAAATTTTGGGGAGACGCGGCGGGGGGTCAAAGTTCAAAACCGGCAAAATTTTCGCGAATTTATTACTCGAAAACCAAGAAGTTTTCGTAAACGCGGTTTAAACGAGCGTATTCAGCGTGACGAGAGCTTTCAGAAAATGTATAACATCATAGGGTTTTGTCAACTTCAGCTCAAGTTATCGCCTCCGAAGCGCCGGAACGCTCAAAAGAGACCCCTTATTTTTTCACGTTTGGGCCGATTTAAAAAAAAGCCATTTTTTTAATTTCATGAAAAACTGATATGTTGTTCCTGACTCTCTGTAGCCCCTCTATCTCTTTACCGCATGCTGGGGAAATGTTTTGGTCGCGAGTTATAAGAGCGGAAAGGAGCGAAGGTCGGGAAAATCGGCTATTTTAAACTGCGCGCGGCGACGGATCAGGAGCCATGTGGCAACTACGCGAGGTCGGCAGAGGAGTGTGATTCACCGAAATGAGTGGGAGGGGACGTTTTCCCTCCGATCAACGCCGCGCGCGCAGTTTAAAATAGCCAATTTTCCCGACCTTCCCTCCTTTCTGCTCTTATAACTCGCGACCAAAACATTTCCCCAGCATGCGGTAAAGAGATAGAGGGGCTACAGAGAGTCAGGAACAACATATCAGTTTTTCATGAAATTAAAAAAATGGCTTTTTTTTAAATCGGCCCAAACGTGAAAAAATAAGGGGTCTCTTTTGAGCGTTCCGGCGCTTCGGAGGCGATAACTTGAGCTGAAGTTGACAAAACCCTATGATGTTATACATTTTCTGAAAGCTCTCGTCACGCTGAATACGCTCGTTTAAACCGCGTTTACGAAAACTTCTTGGTTTTCGAGTAATAAATTCGCGAAAATTTTGCCGGTTTTGAACTTTGACCCCCCGCCGCGTCTCCCCAAAATTTTTGGGGGGCTTGAAACTTTGGGAAAAGATGGGGCATTGTTAGGTGAATGAACAGGGCAAGTCTCAAGGTATCCGCCCCGAGCCCCAAATGACCCGTTTTGCACGTAGTCCTTTGACACAACTTCATTGTGAAAGTAAGACATGCTCAGTTTTTTAAACAATGCATAGCCAGAAATGCTTTACGGAAAGAAATAAAAATTTTGAGTCAAGAGGTGACTGTTGCTGAAAATGAATCTTGTTATAATCCAACTACATATCGACGGTGAAAGTCGGCAATCACATAACTCGTTTGCGGTGTCTGAAAATCTCCGCCTCTACGTCATTTTTTTAAAGGAGAGCAAATTGGCTTTATTTCTTGAAGTTTTTGCAGAATTTTCTTCGCATTGAGAAGAAAAATCATGACAGTTTTAAAGAATTGCCGTTGAGTAGTTTGCCATTTAAAAAATAAAGTACGACAGGAAGTCTGCGACGTCGCAAACCGAGTTACGTGATTGCCGACTTACACCGTCGATATATCATTGAATAGGAGGAAACAAACAACAAAAATATTCCCAAAAACTCTCCCAAAACACTGCTTTCATAATTAATTTTAAGCCACAAATGGATTTATTACGCCTTGATTCACTCATCAGCCATATGATACCCATAACAATCTTGCCTAGAAACCCAAGAAAAGAACTTGGAGTAAGACTCCTGCGTTGGCAACTGCTGAACTGAGAGGAACTGATCTTAATTGGCAAGTGACGATCATTTTGATTCGAAGATTGGGTCCAGAGCATTGATCTTACAAAAGATGGAAACAGCGACCTATTCTTTAAAAAATATTTACAACTGTCGAAAAGAACCAATAAATCAGCCATTTGGCCTAAAACCTACAGACTGAAATGAGATGCTCCACTGAAAAGACACTGATTCTAGTTTTTCCTGCTTTTAAAAATTATTTTGGCCACAAATTAGCATCAATAAAAGTTAATGCTGTAGACTGTTCGAATATTCATAACAGTACCTACTCTGTTTTCCTGCTTATAAACCTTGAGTACTATTCCGTCACACTCACAACAACCTGTAATTCTAGGCTCATCAATGTACAATATTGAGTTCTGAGTTCAATTGTTTTCTGCAGCAACCTATCATTTGCAAGCAACTGCAAGTATGTTTTCCTTTGATTTTTGATAGCAAAGTAATAGTCTACACCTTTAAGGAATACGAAGGGATTGACGTATCAAAGAAAAAAACTCAACTTATGAGCGACTTCACTTTAGAATACTACTTACACAATATTTGTTTGAACGGAGGATTGTGTTGGCTAAACTTGCAGCAACCGACAACCAAGAAATTTGAGCCAAGAGAATCTAGTTTATTCTAAGTATAACGGATGGTGCATAATGCTTTGAATGTCTAATCTCAAAACTCAACAACCGTACGCAAAGAATTGATTCAAGGTTTTACTGCTAAATAAAACCAGTCATGTGAAGGAAAAACAAAAATTTGATAATATTTAAATATTATTATGCCCTATCTTTCCACGTCCAGTTAGAATAGCACATGTAGGGGGGCTTCAAAGAGCAATAAAGTACTCTTCAGTACATTTTTAGAAAAGAAAGCTATACGGATGTTCACTGGCTTGTTTAAAATATTTTAAATTATCTGTACACATAAATCCCAAACAGCAGACGGTATTATTCAACATTTCTCAGGAGAGTTAGGAGTGCGTTGCATCTTATAAGATGACTGAAAACTCTGCTATCTAACTCATAACTTTATTCAGTTACGCATGCGATTTGCGGCATTTAAATAAATCAAAATATATTTCTTCAATTCTTAAAAATTCAAGTTTTTTCAAAAAAGGAGAAATGAATGAAAAACAACGAGCTTTCATGTAATTACCATGGCCCATGTTACTCCAAGGAAGTATATAAATATCGCAGACGCGGTATCAAAACTCGCGAAAGTGAACCAAGATATGAAATATACACATCTGAAAACCGTGATTTGAGTAATGGAGGCTCCGCATGTTGATGACACTATAGGCAGTCAGCTTGCCACACTGCAACCAATGTCACCGTCTGTCTGGTCTAGTGAGATGGGCAACTAAACCGTTCAGAATGGAGAGGAGTGCCCTCAGTGCGGCAAGGCTACCTATAGTGGTGCCTCATTGACTCCTTTAATCCTCCTTATCTGCTCTTTAACACTGAGGGTTGCAAAATGGATTTCACCTCTGATCATCAATTAATTCTATTTATCAACTAACCTAAAAAGCATAGGTTTCAATTTAAAAACAACAACAACAACCTAGCCGAATTTGTTTTCTAGATGTTGGCCCCCTTTAGAGCTTTACAAGTGGACATTGTGGCCTTCCCTGGCCAAGACATCTGATCATTATGAAGCATTTTGGCTATGTATGAATTAAGATGTGATTAAAATTGAGTTCTGTTTTCCTTTTTGGATATTAACTGGCAGAGAAATACTGAGCATAATAATAAAATATTAGAAAAATTAAATATATCAGCGGAGAGTCTATGGATGAAGGTCCTAGAAAAAAAACTTTTCCGCTTAAAAGTCTAACAAAATAACTTTGGAGATATGAAAAAAGAAAATTTTGTTTTGTTTCTATCTTTCTTGAAAGCACTGGCTCTATAACTAAGTTTCTGCAGAGGCCAAATCGGTCTGTATGATCAATGCAAATATCACTCATTGATAATTTTTCAACCAGCCAACTGTGCCATCAATATTTTCGTGATGATGAATAAATAGGTTTGACCACATTAGATGTACATGGCACCATTAACTTCCATAGGTCCTTTTGTTCCTGCACTATCTGATGCCTAAGTTTGATAAATATTTGGCAATCTATCTACCCACAGATGAAAGGCTCTTCAGCGTCCATTTTCGGGACTAAACTTCAAAAGTTTGAAAAAAAAACCAAACTCTTAACAAATTGCTCTCTTCAACAGATACTAAGTTTCTGTTAGCTACAAAAAACCTGTTGCATGCCTGAGACTTTCTACTATATAATTGAGTTTGTTACTTATTAACCCTTTCATTCACAGGCTGAATTCTGCGTGTCCATATCTCCCAACAGAGATTGGTTGTCGTACAAACAAATCGGAGTGCACTCTATTAGAGAATATTTGAAGTTGTAATTTTGATCCTCCTTGATAGACAGAGCTATGAGCTTGAATACTTCTAATGGGAGCTTGTTGAGTAATGGTGAGATTGCTAAGGGAAGGATACAGTTTTTTGAAAGCAGATCCTACTCTTGTGGTAATGAAAGGGTTAATGTGAGTAAATATTGTATGCTCACTGTCGCTTGTTCAATTTATTAAGTTCCAAAATATACAAGTGTATGTCTTTTTTTCATGAAAGAACTTAAAAAATAAAGCAATTAGGTATTGTGAAGAATCTCATGAAAAACAAAGGAAAGTTAAATGGTTGAGGGATGAAAAATTTGTCAGATGCCCTGAGATAATTGGGTCAGAAGATGTGGGGGAACACAGGATATTTCTGATTTCCAATAACCTTCTATTTTCTTCATAAAAATAGTATTTTAACGATTCCCTCAAAATTTTATTTGAATGCAATCTATGTCTCTTCACAATTGAGCCATTTTTCGTGACAACGACAATAAGCTTTTGCAATGTCGCTCAAATTCTGCAGTGTCATAAATAGTTGGTAGTAAACCAAACAAATACACAAGCTAATTAATTTCCGAGGATAATGAGTAAAAATGAAGAATATTTTAGGGGGAAAATTCCAGTCGGATATTCAAATTGCACAATTTGGGCAGCACCGCGAAGCTTGTCCATCATTCATGCAAAGAATGGCTCAATTGTGATAAGGATTGTAATATCTAATAAATCTTGGAGGAAATCTGTGCTTTAATTTGTAGAAACAAAATTTCAAATTAAAGTGAAAACTCTTACCTCCTTTATCAACACCAAGGAACACAAAAAAGTACGACCATTACTTAATGACAAGACAAGAAACAATTATTACATACTTGGATTAATTCACCATTTACGCAAACATCAAAATCAAAACAAGCTGTGTAACGGCTGCAGACACTAGAACAATGATAGTATCACAATTCAAAGCTTTAACAATTACTTATTTTACAAATTACGCTTGGAATCTACTTTGTCAGTAAACAGCTGTTCCCTGAAACACACAAATTTATGGATTACTTAAAATAGCAAAACCAAAATTACAGAAATTTATTTTAGTGAAAATAGGCTACCAAGGTTCTTGCATTGGAATGCAGTACACTTTTTATTTTGTTTGACTGTGTCCAATTTTAATTTACTTGAATAATTTTCATCTTGTTTTATTCTGTGAGAAGCATTTCTATCCAGGCTTGGGGGCAAGTGGTCGTAACGACATTTGCAGGAATTTAAAATACCAGAGGGAAAACTATGCAGCTACAATATTGGCTGCAATATTGAAAAAATGTACGTACTGACTATTGATTTTTACAGAATCAATCGATCAAAATCAACATGTAGAAAACTGATGAGTCGCAAATCAATATACCAAAAACCTCATGGTCAAAGAAATGTCTCTCAACTAGCCCATCTTTTTCACTCCATACATACTTTTTTGACAAATAGATTGATAAGGAAATCAATTTTCCAAAATACAAATAAATCTTTGTGATGTATTATTTTAAAAGGACGCTGCACACAATGCCAAGAAATCTATGCTGGCTAAGTTTTGAGACTTTTTCATATAATGTTCCTTACAAACTCCTGAGTAAGATGAACTATTAAAATCAAACTTTTTAAGCGCCAATCTCGAGAATATCAGTCTGAAAGGTGAGTTCCTTGGTAGTTTTATATGCTTCATGATGAAGAAAGATGTATATGATCGAGGGGCGAGGCGGGCGGGCTCCTTTTTCCTTGTCTTGCAATGGTCGGGGAGATAAGACAGTTCAACTCAGTTCAGAACAACAGGCTGCTGCTTTTCTGTATGATATAACATATTAAATTGCCAAAATTTCACTTTACAGACCCATTTTTCTTGAGATTGGCACACAAAGAGTTTGATTTTTAAAGTTCATTGTGCTTAGGAGGTCGTAAGTAATATCAAATAAAAAGTATCAAAATTTAGCCGGCACCAAATTTCTGGGCATTGTGTGTGGGGTTTCCCCCATTACAACTGAAAACAAGTAGTACCTAGATCAAAAGTATCAGTTTAGTTCTCATTGAAAGAACAGGATTAGCTTTTTTCCTTCTTTGCTGTGTATGGTTCAATTCGTCTAACTTGACCAATTTTCCATAGACATTAAAATGAGTCAATTCATACAAATTATCATTGAATAAAAAGAACACTACTATTTCTGGAGGAACAAAAGTTCTTGCAAAAAATGATAAAAATTAAAAACTGCCTTCAAATTTGATTGGCTAAAACTTACGTGCATGACTAAAGGGTGAAATTAAAATTTCTGGACCTTGTGGTCGAAGCGAAAGAAACTCTTCTCTCATTCATTTTCAATCATCGTTTGACTTCTCAAAAATGGCAACACCGAGTAAGTTCTTAAAAAGCATTCGAGGCAAACTAGGTAATAAAAGGCAACAACTTCAGAGCAACGACAAAAACTAAAAAAAGGAGACAAAAACAGAAAACATAAGCAAACTAAATCAAAATTGATGAAGAAAAAATGCAAAATAACTAAAAAGAAAATAAAAAGAGTGCAGGTAACACTAAATTGAACGAATAGATTCCAGCTACCTTAGTAATCGTCAAGGTCAAAATCTTCCAATGGCTCTTCAGCTTGAAGAGACTGAAAGTCCACCTTATAACGTAGTATGCCTAACAAAACAAAAGCCAAAACTTGTGATCAATCAGACACTTTTACTTTATCGTTCCTCAAATACTTGAGCTTACATCAATGAAGAGGAGATCTATAGACAGGAAGTCAATTAAAATGATTGGTTTGCATAGTAAATGTCTGCAATTGCAAGGTATCTCACAAATTCAGTCCAAAAAAATGGTTGCAGCACTTGCGCATAAAAACCGCTAGCCTTGCACCATAACATTAAACCTAGAAAATGCTAGAGCAACCAAGATAACAACATTGCACCATTTTCAAGGCCATTATCTTGAACATTATTAGATACTTTTGGATTCCAGTACCAAAGCTTTCTGTGCCAAAAACGACCGCGAAGACCGAAATACATTTCGATCTGTTGGTAAACAACTAAGAAACTAACTTAACCGCTATTTTCGAAAATTGTTCGATACTCATGAATTCTGCCGTAAAGTTTGTTCTTTATCATCAAATAACCCGAGGAAATAAGATTTGATTGAAGTCTGCTCTTAAACACCCAAGAAACCAATCTTCCTTCATTTTATACTTCAATCAGCTGCCATTATGAAACAGTAATAGATAATAACCTGCAATTTTTGCGCAAAATTTTCTTTCCTTGTACTTTTTCCAACAAAATATCACAATATATATTGACAAATATACACACTATTTTTCCCCCCTATAAACGCACAAACACACGTGGTGAGCAAATCATTCTGAACAGATGTCATATTTATAATCTATAGCTTTGGATTGGTGCTCTTTTGACTTTTCCCCTTAGGTCTGACATCAGCAGTAATAACAGATGTTTCTTTGCTTTCTGAAAATACATTGTATATCAGGTCTTGATTTAAGTAAGTGGAATGTAAGCAGACGCAGGCTTACATAACAGTAAATCCTGATCATAGGAGAGGGCAGGAACCTAGCTGCCAGAGGCATGCGTACTGTAGGTAGGCAGCAATGAGGCATACCTCCATCCTCTGGCGAAAGAAGCCAGAGAAGCCAGTCTCTGGGACTCAGACCCAGTGTTCGAAACTCACCTTAGAATTTTAGGAGCCATGCGGCACATCAAGCTCAATTCTTAGGGGCCAAATTCAGTTTTTGCCTATATATCACCGCGCTTTTAGTGAGAAGTTAGACGCAAGATGCTTTAGTTACAGAACTAGTATGTAGCTGTTACTTGGGGGAAATTTCGAAAAATCCCCAAACAGAAAAATCAGGATTTTTTTTTGGGAGGGGGGGGGGCAATTTTTAGGGGCCAATATGGCACAGAGCATTCTTTTTTTGGGCACCATGACCGACTTTTTCGGCGCATTTGGCACCTGTGAGTTTCAAACACTGCTCAGACCTATGAGCTATTGGTCTCTGCCCTGATTCTAGTGGGTGCTTTGTTTCCTGTCGAGTTTCTATCAATTAATTACAGCACCATTCTTGGACATTTTGGAACACCGTACATACTTGGTATCTAGACTTCGAAAACCTTACCTCCAATACCACCAAAGCCTCGTACAAACTGTGAGCCTTCTTGAGATTTATCAGTAATTATCTCCAGAGTGGCACCAAAACTTTTGTAATTATTTGCTAGCCATTCCAAAAGAGGCTGACACTCGACCAGTTCTAGCTCTACGCCAGTCTGAAATAATGGAAAAAAACCAAAATCACTTTTATTGAAAGCTTGGTCTAATGCGATTGATTGATAAAGTATACTTAAACTTTATGTATGAAATTGAGATAATATAACTGAAAAATATACGAGTCCGTTCAAAAACAAGCGATGCAAAGTCTGATATTTTATTAAGGTAGGAAATAACGAATTGAGCTACACAGATACATCAGAGTTGCAAAAAGTTTTTGCAGAGAACACATCTTCAGATTAAAAACTATCTGAAGTTCTCAATGATGGTATACAATGTAATAATTCTTTTTAATTTCGATTTTGGATACAGGGAGCAAAAACAATAATCTGTAAAAATCAAGTAATTTAATTTGGTAAAAATAATTATTAAAAAGTGGAAGAAGTTATGAGTAAGGTAGGAACAGGTGATTTAAAACGCAGAATATGTGAAAACCGATGTCCTTAGCAAGTTCCCATTGAGTAAAATGACGCCCTATTAAAGTCCTGTTAGCAAAGTGGTGGCCAACATCTGTTTTTCAGATATTTGGGTGCAGAATTGTTGAACTGAACGAACAAATAATGCAAGACTATTTCTCTGCAACAACTAAGGAAAATTTCTTTTTCTTTTCTCATAGTTGAAATAACTTCTTTATAAAATGAATTAGATTGACACATTGGTCGGATCTTGAACGCCGGTCCAGAACACCTCGGAACCGCTCGCCAACTTACCCTTCCAACAGCGCTTCTCAAGGCCACCACGATACAAGCACATTATTATTTCATTGCTTCAATTGCAACACATTATATTCAACACCTTCTTTCTACATCAAAGAAGAAAAAATTACAGTTACAGAAAAAAGGAAAAGGACAAACCTCCTTGTCGGTGAAATGACTCTTATCTTTTTCTTGCTCTGGAGTGAGGTGAAGGATTTTGACGTCCGAACTCATGTGGTTTTTTAGTACGTACCGCTGGATATCTAAATTTTCCCAACAAATAAGAGTTTCCACAGATCCTAACTCTAGTGCTCTGAGGGTATCTTCCACTCCGAAACAATATTTTCCTGTATCTTGACTGATTTCATCAAAATAACGACCTAAAAATAAATTATGAAAATATCAGGTAAGTTTAAGTTTTTCTGTCTGTTGAGAAAGGCTTTAAAAATGTGGCAGTAAGAAAACAGTGATGGTAAGAGGTAAAAAAACCGAAGGAAATAAAAATAAAAAGGTCACGAAATTGGTGGGAAAATAAGTGGAAAGCTGATGAGAAAAATGTAGAAAGTCAGCAAGCAGGCACATGAAAATAAAGAAGCCTGAAAGAGTCAGCGCTCCTGGTTAAACACATGGACAGTTTTGCCGCAAGAAGTCTTCCTCACACTTGCCTCTCTATTTTATATTATTAATACACTTACATTAATTTTTTTCTGCTTTTTCAGATTGATGAATCTCATTCCTCACCAAATTTTTTCCACTCAGCTTAATTAAAAATTAAATATTGTCAGTGATCAGCTGTAAGAAAGAGGTTCAAAATTACTTAAAAAGTATTTAGCGGTGAATGAGGGTACCTATTAATTTTTTTTCTTGAATGAATTTCACATTCTGCAAAGACTCAGCTGCTAGCTCAATAGCTTGGTTGAATCCATTTTCTCCACCGTACGAAACGTCCACTAATTTGATTATCTTGGCTTGAAGTCTCTGCAAAATATAAGCGCAAAATTAATTAACTCTGATTGAGCATTCACAGATTTAATGAGATGCATGAATGTCACACGATGACGTAATGATTCGTAAAGCTTACAGGGTAAGCATGATCACTGATTATTACAGGATTAATGACAGGAAAATCAATGATTGTCTCTCATGATCTAGTTCTCACAGCCACTACTGATGACGATGTTACTCTTTGAAAAAGCAGCATATAATACCATCCACACGAGCAATGCAAAGCAGTTACTCAGTCAGTGACGCACACATTAGCACTGCATTGTCACAGTTTAAAATACAGAGGATAAAATGGTGGTATGCAATACTGCGATAGATGAAACGTACAGGATATTGGCATTGTTTGAAAAGCCATACATACACTAATAGCGTGTGTGAAACCTTGGCTTTGGCAAGGGTCTTGCGATTTTTTCCTGATCTACAGAATTCAATCGTTAACTCAGATTTTGTTACAGACACATCTAACTCATTGTCCTGAACAATTTTGATTTACTTGAAAAGGTGGAGTTTCTTTGAATAATACCCACACACTTAACAAAAAAAGTTAATTCTTTGTACCTATCAAAAGTATATTATGCGAACTAATCATTGAACAGAGCTAGAAAACCAGCACAGTAAATTTAATAATCAATCATCTATGAGATGAGATTTGAAACTGAATATTTGAAATTTCTTCCATCTAAAAAGGTATTGATAGACCTGTATCAGAGTTCCTCCCGAATCTAACAATACCTAGCATCCAGAATAAAATGCAACTGAAATGAAGTATTGGCACCAATAACTAGGAGGCACTCAAAAACTGGTGCATGGGTTGCTCTTACATCCTTGCTCCTTATCTTATCCTTGCATCCTTGCTCCTTCATCTAAATTCTTCATTTGCCTCTGGAAAATAAGCTTGCCAGCCAAACGAATCCTTTTTGGGACTAAACTTACAACACTGGTCTGTACGCAAAACTGAAAGCTGAGTTATTGATACTAGAACAGAGTGGTGACCTACAAAAATGTTGAAGGAAAAAATACCTGAAAAAATCAAACCAAGCTAAGGTTTTGCTGATTTGAGGATTGAAATGCTCTACATACACAAAATTTAAAAACGGACAGTTATCTAAATAACAGGCAATTTATTGTTCAGGACACTAGAAAGAGTTCTCAGTTTAAATCTCCAAATCTGCTATTAGAATACACCTCTCTGAAAATAGTTCTACCACAAATTTTAGATTTGTAGACAGAGATACCTTTTCTTGTGGACAACTTTGAATGTATATATATAAAAAAAAGTGAAAAATAAAAAAAGTAAGTAACCTTCATTGACAAATGTATGATGTATGCATTTGATTGAAACTTACAGGGTCAAACATGTCAGACTGGCTCAATTCCGTTTTGAAATCAGCACTACCTGCGAGAATGAGACCAGCCACATTTGGTTTGTCATTAGCAATGAACAAAGATACCGCAACTTCCGCAACTTTTCGTACATAATTATGCCGTTTTTCCATACGTAACCGAGCAAAACGCAGAGCTGACTGTCCTCCTCTTCCTGAAAATATACAATTTAAATTTTGACTATTCATATTGACACATAGCATTATGCTACAATTTTTACCACTTCAGTCATCAAGTTTTAATCTTTTTAATCAGGAACAGCTTTAAGGAGGGTTTTGTTACGTTTCTCATTTTTCTCCAGCCGACCAAAGTCTTCTTCCAGCACTTTTTTTTGTCTTTTTACAATTTTTTTTTGCCCTTTTTTTCTAGCAGGATGGAAACAAAAAAGAAAAACATATTGGTAGGTAACTTCTTAAAGTAGGAAATTCCTCATTTCTTTAGGATCACTCTTCGACACAATAAATTACTGTTTGAGAAATGAACCTCACCATGTTTCTTTGGCAAATCAACTGTAAACTTATGTAAAACTTCTCTTGTGTTGCCTTGAAGTGTTCCAAATAGAGCACCATTACCATCCATTACGATAAATCCAAATTTATTATCATCTGCTAACAGTGCAGTCAAAGCTTCCGTATGAAACTGTGAAAAGAAATACAGAAAAACAAGATTAAAAACTTGGTGTAAATGACATGGAATATTTGACCGTTAATTCTAAACGTTAAAATTTAGTAGACCTAAAGGACCTCTGAGCAATACTGGATTTGTAAGCATTTTCTGTGATGTTGCAGACAATCATTATACTTCCACTTGTCTAAATTTTGAGAAAATATTCATCTTCTTCTAACATTCCTTTATCCTAAGCATTCAATGTTTCAACATTTGATTTGTTAGTCAGCTGAACGCATTCTTTGATTAAAAGCTCTGTACATGGTGTAAAATTCTGTCTGTCATATAGTTGGCAAATGCAACAAGCAAAATGAGAGTCCGATCAATTTTCATGGTTCTGTGCATAGACCATTAGCAGGGTAAGAATAAAGCGCTACAACATATGTTTCTTCATTCAAATTTCAGACAAAATAGAGTCGGCACAATGAAAACGCCCACATCAAACTTATGGCTGAGAAATTAGCGTTTTTCAAATTTGTCACTTCCCGCTCTTGAAAAAACCTAGGTCTGGGTACATTGGTCAAATCAGATATTGAACAAGTTTGACAAATTTTGACAAGAGAACATGTCTTTTACTTCAATTCTCATCCTATTAAGTGGCGCATTATTATTTTCAGATTACTATCTTCATTGTACTACAGAGTCGAAAACGGTTTTGAGGTTTATCTTGATACTTACTTTATTATCACATAGATACAAGGAGGTGTTGATTGGTTTGAAAGGCTCAAAATCTATATTTACTTTCTTTTCTTTTCCTTCTTCTGTTACGATTGTACCACAATAAATTACAAGGCCATTTTGTGGAACTGTTGAAAAAAAAAAAACAAGAACAAGATAAACTAAATTTCGAAAGCATACAGGAGAATGAAAAAGCTATATGTGCGCAATAACACAACGACAGACAGTATTTTGGTAAGTGATAGGTCAGGTATTACAAAAGTCAATGAGCAAATGCTCATGGCAGCTATTGTAGTGTTCACAATTTTTATTGCTATATTTTGTTCATTTTGAAAATTAAATTATCTACCTAACAATAAACTCAGCTTGGTCGAATGAGAAAATAAGATGTGAGTTATCCTGATCTGGGGCTGATCTTCCCAGTTTGCAGTTTTGCTGCACAGTTTGGCTGATCTTTTCGCCTAATTCTCCCATTCCCTATGAGATTTGTATATTCAGATTAAGAGAACTGAAGAGTTGAGCTGATTCAGGAAGCTTCTAGTCAATGGATTGACAAAAAGAGTGTAAGTACAGAGTGTCTCATGGTCATCATGTATATGGTGATCAGTTCCTTAAATGACTTTAAGACATCAGTTGGCAAGATGTTTTTCTGTTTTTAATAAAATTAGATTTTCAGCGATTTTGGAAAGTTATTGTCTTAGCTGAGATACATATGATTGAATTGAAAATGGAAAAATGAAGGTATTCTCATTCCAAGAGTAAAAAAAAGTGTGCAACAGCCTCAAATACAGACTTTGCCAATTCATTCATTGTGATTTTTCGGCCATTTTTTCCTTGAGAAACTCTTATTTTTGCTACGGAAGTTTGTTACAGTTTGATTGTATAAGTTTAGAGGCAATGTGAACAATTGAACATGCATGCCGAGTCAAATTAAAAAAGATGTCCGTAATTGGTTTACCTTTGGTATATAATTTAAGGCGATGCTGGACAGATGTTATTGCTCCTAATACTGAGAGACGATTAACTCTAGATTTAATATTGGAGGCTGTGCCAAATTCATCCGCTAACATTTTGCTCACTCGAGAGATTTGATCCTTAGGAGGAATGATCAATGAAATCATGCTTGTTCCATTCCTGAAAACAAAAGAATCCTAAAGTAAATAAAATGAAAATAAATTGAACCTGAAAAAATAAAAAAAAAAAAAACATTACCCACATCAGGGAGCAAAGCCAACTTCGGCTTTTCAGAGGAAAAACCAGAGGACAGCCAGCTCAGATTAAACTGCTGACTATCTTCCTCCAATCTGTGATATTATGAAAATTTACAAATAATTCCGATGATTCATTCGCCGAATAGTCTGCAAACTTTAGTTTAATAAATTCTAAGATCGTTCAGGATCTTGGCATGATAGGAAATTTTTACATAACCAATTCTTGCACAACTACGTGATGTCATTCTGAATTCACCATTGATATTCTGCCTTTCTCCATGTCAGGTTTTTTCGGTCCTAACCACCCTTGAAGTAGGGGTCTAACAAGCAGTCCTACGTCCCCTCTTCCTAAGTGCCTGATATCATTTTCAAACCCGGGCCTTTCGCCCCATGCACCATCTTGCAATTAATTGTAAGATGGTTTAACGACCAATTTGGAAAATGTACACAAAGTTGTCCTACTCTTCTTATTTCTTGAATTTTCAAAGAATCCTTTTAAAAAATTTACACCCCTCAATTTGATTATACGTATGGTTCTTCCAACCGCATACTACGTACTGTCGACATTTCGAAGTCTAACATTTGGAGTACCCACTTTATAATACAGACCTCCTCTTTACTAGGGTAATGAATTGGCATAGTAAAACCACAAAAACTTGATTACTAATTTTGAGTTCACTTCAATGAAATAACTTGGGTATAAACCAGACTAAGCCGGACCGCAACTAAAAATATAACCTTAAAGTGAAAGATAATTCACTTTGAAATTAGATCAAGGATTAGTTTTGAAGAGGTAAAATTTTGCATAACTACCCTCTGGCCATTTCTAAACTCTTGATTAGTTTCTTGATCTTCCAGATTTCAACATTTCTGTCAGACGTTGTTTCCTCTGGATAAGACATCTTGTTCGAGTCTCCTTATCCTCTAAATAATGGAGAATAAAAATGTTAAAAAAGTTAAATAATGGTTCACTTGAGTAATTCCTCGACGCACGAATAAAAAAATATAAAATGAAATAACACTGGGGGTGAAACCCAAACTATTAGGTGAGTCCAACGAAAAGAAATACCAAACGTGAGGTTCTAAAATATGTTTTGTAACAAACTATTGAACTCCACAGCTCACTGACAGCGTGATTTGAATTACTTAAAGTTAACAAACTGTGGGCGTTTTATCGATTCTTAAAGTAATATAAGACGGTCGCCGCTCGGACGGGTACAAAAATTTAGGAAAATAAATTAAAATTGATAAGAAATTGTTTACTAATAATTCATCACGACAAAAGATTAACACGCACATTTACACACGCACACACTGCTTACACTACCACACACCCAATCCATACTCAACGACCAATAAGCGATCGAAGAAAAATGATGCAACCTCCCGCAACCAGTGAGTATAGGCCGCCCGCACTACACAAGCAGCGTTATCAAATCAACCCTCCAGATCGTGAGCCCATAGTGAAAAATAAACCAAGTTTACATTTATAGCATTATACTTGTGAATTAATATACGTGCTTTCTTTCTATGAGTCACTGCATTTTAAAATTTACAGTCGCCTGATTGAATACCCATTGACTTTATTCAATACTAGACTGCCCACCAAAATTAACAGTTTGGCAACACTTCTGATAATATGAGTGCCATGCGCATTGTCGGAAAGGGAGTTGAACTTTCACGAGAGGGGCTATGGGGTTTCAAATTGATGTGGCGAAAAAGCAAGCCATAGAATGAGCTGTTTCGAATCGTGAGCGTGGCGAGTGCTTTAGATCGTAAGAACACATACGCAGAGAACCCCTCATCTTCATTTCAAGAAGAAGCCATATGGTGTCGATTGTCACTGAATTCTCATACGTATACCAAAGTCAGTTAAGTACTAAATGCGTCAGAGAAAAACTTTTATGTGGGGCCAAACAAATCAGGAACTTTCATATGTGTGTGCGTAGGTGGGGGGAGGGGGGGGGCGCAGAACGGTATGCCCTCGAGGTAGACTGGGGAAGGCACCTCTTGAAGACACTCAAGTCCGAGGTACAATCTGTAGGACCCTTCCAGTTCCAAAAGAGGGTCTGATGAATTTTTCTAACTTTAATGGGGGGTATGGGGGTCTCGCCGGAAAATTTTTGGAATAGAGTCGCCTCAGAAGCTATTGAGCTGCTCTCACTGAAAGATAGATCCTATTTCCAATTTCAATGAGGAGTCAATCGTAACGCACTTACTTACCGAAATATACATTTCACATGGGTACATTACATTTCTTTGGAGGGACCATGAATCTTTTTTTTATGAGCCAAAAAGAAAAGCGTCTGTATGAATGATGCTACGTGCTGCTAAATAATTTCAACAGTGCCAAGAAACGACATTTATTGTATCGAATTGTAGTGTTAATGGGGAGAAAAATGCCAGTCAATTGAAAAACGTCAGAGCGCCTTCAATTGCGCTTGATACTGTGCAATATTTTCATGCTGAAATAGTTGCTCAAAGCAGGCGCGCTGAGAATTATTATCATATTTTCACGTGGAACACGGCGGACACAACGAAAATCTCAAGTTTTCTTTGACTAATGAGTAAAAACGTTTCCTAAATCGTGAAGGCTCGCAAAAAAAAAATCTTGCATTAACTATTGATCGATCTGATACCGGTGTCCTTTAATTGCGGTGATAATAAAATTACCCAATGTGCTGAATTTCCTTGCCAAATTGAAAAATATCTTATGTTACGTACAGCTGAAAGTAAATTTTAGCAAAATCTTATACCTATCCTAGCTTTTTGTCAACAAATGATAAATTTTCTTCCCAAAGCCATGATCGACGACGTTGATCTTGATTTTCTCGTGAATGAGGTATTTGAATTAACTGATTCTATTTTCTGATTTCTAACCGCTATGAAGTTTTTCCATCCCCCATTACATTAGGCCCCCTATCAGATAGTGATCCATCAGCTCGGGGTTGATACGGTTCGCACAGCGTTCAAATACAGCGGACTTCTGGTTTAGGCCCCCCTTAGACGGTGGGGGACGAGGGGATATATTGGAGGCAAAACATTTAACTTCCGATAACTACCGTTGAACGGATCATCGGATTGAGTTAATTTTTTTTTTTTTTTTTTTTTTTTTTTTTTTTTTTTTTTTTTTTTTTTTTTTTTTTTTTTNTTTTTTTTTTTTTTTTTTTTTTTTTTTTTTTTTTTTTTAAAATGAACGATAATGAAAAGGTCTTCCTGTACGCACCGACTAAAAATTCAGGTTTATTTTGCTCGTATCATTTTAGGTCGCATGAAGTCAAAAACTACGGAGACGAGTAGGAAATCGACCCCAAGGAATCCGACTTTCAGATCTTCGATCCACCCCCCCCCCCCCNCTCAGATGATATTAAGGGGGTCGTGTCTAAAAATTTGGGTTCTAGTTAAAATGTTTAAATCACCCCTTCAAATTCAGGAGACACGGAAAATTTTACTGCGTAGCGCTCTCAAGAAAACCAACATCGGCCCAATCCTGTTTCGAATTATTGACCTAAGACAAAGACCCCTTCCTTGAAATTCCATGTCATGTCGCCGGGTGCTGATGTTTTCCTCGGGAATCGACCACGAAGGAATCCGAATTTGACTGTCATGAAGCCCCCCAAACATTTTCTGATGTTATACAGTCCCCCTCCCCTCGTATCACATTCCTTTCAGGTTAACTTCTTCGTGTAAAATAATGCTATTTATTGTAGAATTTGATTCCATCCGCCGAGAGGGAAGCAGAATGATGTTCAATTTTTTTCGCTCCTGTGTTTTCGCGCCTTCGATTTGAATTGGGGTCAACACACGGCAAAAAGAAAGAAATCATTTGATTGGTGAGTGGTCGTAGACGTTCCCCCTCTCTCACAGAACCTCACAGCTGTCTATCGGTGTTGCCTGTTGTTTACACTATTTATTATTTTGCCCTCGAAAATTTTGCGAATATTTCTCGTCATACAAATTCATCAATTAATTTTATACAGAGTATCATACGTTCAAATCGAAAAGTAATTAAATCAGCGGTGAGATGCTAATGCCAATAGTACCTCAGTGTAATTTCTTTTCCACTTTGGCAACATCAGTGGAAGGTTGAAGGTTATGTTCGGATGTTGAGCTGTGAGTCGAGTTGACCGAACGGTGCATGTGAAATTGTGGATTTTGATAGGTATGTAGTCTTCTTAGACACCGAAGTTTCGTTGAAGCGTAAGAAACTTCTCACCCTTCAACCCTAGTTTATTTTTACAAGTGATTTGCCTCTGACGTGGCCGCTTTTGCGCCATGGAACTTTTCATGTTTCCATAGTCTGTATGTAAATACATAGTAATTTTCACTTCCCATTTCCTGAATGATCTCAAGTCTTCCAACCATTCCTTTTAATTGATTTGTCAAAGGTGTTTCTCTTCCTAGGAGCTCAATAAACGTCCACCGAGAGTCCGAGCATTGACCTTATCTACAACAACATGGATCCTCTCAAGTACCGGAATCCCTGGCCCATGCGACCATGGATGATATATTCGGGTCTGGCTGCACCCGCTGGTGGTGGTAACACAGGATTAAAAGGCATTGTTGCAGGTAACTTCTTCATCTATCTTTCACAGATAAAACTAGATCACTATGTATTCACATCTGAATCAAATTTACTTCGTCCGATTCTCGGCTCATTATTTTGGAAAGCTCAACAGTGTAGTCTGCAACATCTGCAACAAGATAAGGTTTTCAAGAACAGGACAGTAAATATGTAAAAGTTCTCTAAATTTAATATATATCATGATGCAAACAATAATTCGCTGTTTTACATAATTTCAAATCTGTTTTCACTAAATTGGTATAGAAGTTCTGTTGTTGAGACCATGTACCAGGAGGACACGGCGAAAGTTATTTCTTTGCTCCAGACAGATCAAATATAATGCATTTTATTGAGCTTTAATCAAATAGATCTTAAAAGAAAAGTGTACCTGCTGTGAAAACCTACAACGATGAATCTTTCGAGTGAAAATATAGTCTTTTGAGAGTCGCAAGTCATCTTACTATTTCCTGATGGTACCTATCTCACAATTAGTCAATGGTGTCTCACTATAAGTCAGTCATGCCTCTCCATCAATTGAGTTCCAAACCTACAAGTCAAAAATCGAGAATATGGTGCCTTCATCAGGTGGCTTTTATAATTCGTGTTGTCAACCCTTAGCATGCCATTACGAATGCGCAGGCTGCGCCTGGCTATACTATTATGTTTTTCATTAAAAATACTTTGTAGCTTCGTATGAAAAAAAAGCCACTATGATTTATTTAGATTAGCAACAAAATACGCCAGAATGATACTTTGAACAATGCTAATAGTGCTATCTATCAAAAAGTTAGAGAAACATGACAAAAACAATCGCTTAGCAGCGCTGTGAGATGGCACGATGGGCGGGAGTTACCTTGTCAATGCATGTTTGTCTCAGGTGTGCCATGATAAGTATACTTGTCAATACATGCTAATGGGTTAATTGATCCAGGTTGTTTGACAAGCCACCAATCAAGGTTCATTAAATGTCAGCTTTGGATGCATTTTATTTAGATTTCAGGGATTGAGGTTGGATGTTTTGGTAGAGCATAGTGTTAAGTAAAGTTGCAGTCTTTCAAGTGTACTGTTGAGATTAATCCTTGAACAGTGCCTTCTGAACAATGAGCTTGAAATTAGTGTCCTGGTGCTATTTTAGAATTAAAAACCGTACCCAGGGTTGCATACTAGGCCCCTGTAATGAATGTTTCACTTTTTTTCATATTACCTGGTGAAATTTGACCTTACCTAAAATCGGACTTTGCAACCTCAGCCAGATTTCCGAATTATTTACAGTGTTGATAGAGACTCACATCTTGAGTCAAAAACGCCCTCAATTTTCTAAATCGGATAGTCAGAGGGAGGGGGGAGGGATGGCTTAAAGTTAAAGCTCTAAAAAAGCATAACTCATGAATGGTTTGCCATAGAAAAATGATTTTGGTCTTCAAATTTGTATACAATCAGCAGCTATTAGCTGATAATAATGAAATCACTCCATTTTGCAGTGTTAATCCATTGTTGCCATAACTCAATTTGTCTATTTTTTACATTTTTAACTCCCCATACTTGTATCCAGTACATAATATCTAGGGTCCTGTTTCTTCTCCTAATCTCACAGCACCTAATCTCCTTTTTGCGGCACCAAAAACAAAAAATTATGAGTAAATTTTTCTCACCAAAACTTGAAATGGGGGTTTGAACATCTTCCTATTTGGGAGGGGGGGGGAGCTGCCATTTTTACAGCCCCCCTATTTTGAGATGGTACTTTGCTCCTTAATATTTCAGCACATTATTCGTTTTAAGGATCACAAAATAGCACATACCACCACCAAATTATGACATTCTTTTTTTTCCAAAAAATTCGAAACTGGGGAGATCGTCCTTACTTAAACCCCCTGAATTTTCAGTGGAATGTTACCCTCTTGATCTTGCACTACAAAATTTCTGGCTGCACTAAATATTGTAAAATTAGCAACATATCATGGCACACTTCTTTCTAAAGTAATCATAAATGGGGGCTAATATTTCCACAGGCCTCCAAATTTGGAGTTGCCAATTTACCTCTTTAATTTTTCAAAAATAATTGTTTTCTTAACAACCTAAAATAGCTCTTAGTTATTGCCTACTTTTTAATCTAAATCTTAATAGGGGTCAAAATTCCCACAGGCGCCCCTCAAATTTTGAGTTGTCAAATCATCCCTCAATTTAAAAAAAGAAAATCAATTATTTTTCTATGGCATAAAATAACGTAAAATCAGTACAAAATTATGGCATACTTTGTTTTTATGAAATTGAAGATGGAGGTTAAAATTTTCACTGCGCACCCCCCCCCCCCCTCAATTTTGAGTTTTATTTATCTCCCTCCCCCCTTACGCCCTCCCCTCAATTTATTGTGGACACGAAATTTTCTTTTGTTGGCGCAAAATAGCACAAAACTATAACCGTAGTTTTTTCTGAAAATGCTGAAGTGGAATGGCTGTGGAAAAGGACCCCAAAATGTATTCGGAATAATACAGGAGGAATTAAAGCTTTCTCACCAGGAAAAAAAAAAAAAAAAAAAAAAAAAAAAAATCGGATTTCTACAAAAAGTTTGGGTTAAATGATCACGAAGTGAAAAGATCTGTTCCATCGCATATTAAGAGGAAAAAAAAACTGCCCCAGGCTGAAAAACTTGGTTCAGCAGAGCAGCACCGAGGTATCCAGTATCCACTCTCAAAACGTTCACCAGCGGGAGAGGTTTACCTTGAACGTTATAAATTCTTATTCACGTTTCGTGGCCACCTCTCCTGCCTGAATAAGGGCTTACTTCAACTCGAAAAGATACTGTGAGCTATTATCATTTTCTCAATTCAGACTATGAAACAAAAGGAAAATAGAGATTTAAATATCGAGAACATTTCCACGCCCCCCCCCCCTTCGCGCCCCCCTTGGGGTGCAAATTTAATTACCTTCGTTTTTAAAAAATAATTTTTCTGAAAGGCACAAAATTATGGCCTCCTTTTTTTCAACAGGGTTGTCACTGTCAGGGAACACCGGGAAATGTCAGAGACTTTTAAAAAGTCAGGGAAATACGGAAAATTACGGAAATTAGGGAAAAATTAACATGTTACCTTTATTTGCTTTTTAGAGTGGATTTGACTTTTCGAACGACAAATGCCTAAAAACCTATTTCTAATTACGTCTTTTTACCATCTAGCATATCTTTAATTATCAGGGTAATCAGGGAAATGTCAGAGACTTTTATTTTCTAAATTTTGTGGCAACCCTGTTCCACGAAATCATTAAAGGGGGTTAACATTTTCATAGATCCCTAAATGTTGAGATGTCAATGAGTCTCCTCTCCTCCGAGGTCAAAGGTATGTATCCTTGACACATCACAGAAAAAACAGGAGGCATTTCAAGTCCACCCTGCCTTTTACAACATTACAATTTTATTCAGAAGGTTTTTCGACTTGGTCTGTTAACCAAATCGCGGATAAGTGAGCCACGAGTCCGTAGATACTAGGTTCATGTCGCTAAAAACCATTCACAGATATGCGAATTCGCGGATACCGGGGATCTACTGTATCCTTGTAAAGCCTCCTCCGCGGAGGTTTAGAGGACTTGTTAGACAACAGGCTTTTTCAATTTTTTAAGGATTTGTAGAAATTCTTAGTGAGGTCATCTACAAATCACGCCAGGCACTTTATTCCCCCGCCC